CTGAGAGAACGCATTAAAGGGGGGAATGCAAAGAAAAACATTAATAAAATATTTGCACACATAGACTGCTGATATGATCGCCCTCGTCGTGAATGGACATGAAAAGTTAGAGAGAATCCTTTAGCAAAAGCTGGATTACGAAGAGTCCTACGTGTAAGAAAGTGTGATTATAAACCCTATTTATCCAACCTTCCTTCTTTTACAAGCCATAGTGACCTTGTTCAAATATTCCGTTCATCTTTGGGTTTAAGCGTAGTTAAAACTGGTTGGTCATAGGATACGTTTCAACCAAAACAAATTTTTAAGAAATCTTTTAAGGTGGCAGAAAAATACATTTCAAGATCTTCTGTAGAAAGTATGGGCTTGAAATTTAAATTCATTGCTCTGAGGAGAGGAAAACTGCCTACATAATAGATATCAAATCAGAGTTTGCAAAGATCGCTGCAAGCTATCATCGACAAGAGTGGGTTACGAAGCTGCGAAGGAGCCAAAGCAGCTGCCAATTGCCGTTTCTTGTCGGCTGATAGAATGCAGCTACAGCATGGGAAAATTTCGAAGCAGGTGTTGAGGAAGATCATCAAGCAAAGTCGCAAAGAGATTGCACGACTGGCCTATTGTGACGAAGCATTTCATTTCAAATTCATCGTCTGTAGTTTCTGTTTTTTGTGAGTTGATTTCTGATTACGTTGTCCGAAGAAGCTCAACATATAGTTAGCCTATTCTTATAATCTGACATTCATCTTTATTGCATCATTTCTATTTGATAATTTACTACAGTTGACATCCACAATTCGTCAAGTGTTTGTTGTCGTTGAGAGCGTTGCGAAGAAGACACCCATGAATTCAGTTATATATAACCTGTCTCGAAGCTGCCTTTGAGCGAATCATCGTAGCGTGATCTCTCTGTTTATATTTTAAATGTAAAATTTTGTTGCAATCAAATGTAGCAAATGCGTAGGCCCTGCATGCTCTTTGCGAATTTCACCGCCGGCCAGCAGGTATTCGGTTATTTCTTCCAAGTGTTGCATCAATATTTCTGATTTGTACAAGGATTCTCTTCTTTTTGTTTTCTTTCAATGAAACTAAAAAGGTAATTGGCGAAGGTTGACAACCTGCCATGTTTTTTTCTCAAAGATTTCGGAGTAGTCGTCTGAAATCAACAGTGTTTGTTGATTATACTAGTTGTGCTTCGTCTAGCTGTTTTCTCGATAACAAACTTTCTATCAGGAGTAAAAGACTTTTGGTAATGTTGTCTTGTCCTGTTTGCATCGTGCTCACATGTAGAAGTTACAAGGTGATCGTTTTTCAACTGATAGCTGATAGCTTACATCTAGAGAGCTGATTTTTGCTGAATTATTCCAATAGTGCTATCCATTGTTGGCTGTCAATTTAGAATGATAAAGTCTTTTGTGATTTACGCTGTACAATATTCTATGATATGTGGATGAATCACAAATTTCATTTCAAACTACAGGAGCATTTCAAAACATGTTTTTCTTATAGAACAATGTTACAGCTGTCCATAATTTTTAATTCCTTATTCAGCAAAACATTTCAGCGATGTTTTTTATCGTGCAAATCTATTTCTTGGTGTATCTTTGCCGAGTTCGCATTAATCTACTTATGCAATAATATTGGCTGATCTTGTTTTTATTTTTCGCGGTTTTATTTGCAATTTTGCTAAAACAATTGATTGAAATGCTTCCCAATATTTTGCACTTCATAAAGCGACCTTTAAGTCTTCCCATCAAACTGTTAAATTGTCCATTGAAATGATTTTTAAGCGGATGTCAAAGTGAATAAATCTTTTTTACGCAATGTTTCTCATCTGCTTTCAGATTCAAACACATGTAGCCTTCGGTAATGGTGCGGTATCGAAAGCATGTTAATTCAAGAGAACATCTTGGACACATACAGCAACTTTCTCTGTAACTAACCTGACGTGATGGTGGATATTTACGCCAGTTGCGAAAATGTTTGCGAAAATGCTCGCCAAGAGCTTAATGAACGTATTGACACTCGAAGTTTTGACATTGAAGCTTTACGAGATCGGATGTCAGAAAGACCAGACGTCTATTTCGAGAGAAAAGACGATGAATTTCTACTACAGTTTTTAAGAGCTCGCAAGTTCGACAAAGACAGAGCTTTCAATCTGCTTGTAAACTACTGTAGATTCCGTCGACGTCATAGACAGTTCTTTCGCTCGTTACGAGCATCTTGTTTACGGCCAGTTTTCGAAGATGGACTGCCAATGGTCATGCCGGAACGTGATCATCTGGGTCGTAGCATCGTAATAATGTTCCCAGGGAACTGGAATACGAAGCTGTACACCTTTGACGACATTTTACGATCCTTATTGTTGACAATGGAATATCTGATAGAAAGCGAAAGAACTCAAGTTTGTGGTGTTGTATTTATAGTCGATTTCACCGGATGGAGGCTGTCAGATGCATCGCACCTCAACAAGTCACATTTAATAGATGCCATCAAAGTCTTCCAAGTAAATTATTTTCTTCTGCTGCCAGTAATACCTCCATTCCTGTCTAAACAAGCCATATGCTTTGTAGAAATTGTATTCTCGAGTTGCATAAACAATCGAAAGCAAAAGAGGACAAATGACATGCTTTTAGCAATAATATATGTTTGAGGTTACATATTCAAAATCGAATATATTTTGAAGTCGATGATTGAAATACCTGTATATTTTGACATAACGTTTCGGACATACCATTGAACATAGTAGGGAGAGCATGGCATACTAAAGTAATTTTTGTCCTGAAAGTGTCAATGTCGGATGATATCCAAAGGTGAGCAGAAAATTTTATCCAGGCATGGATCGAAAGTAACATAAGAGAAAAAATGGCGGTTGGATTTGTTCCTTATTTTTGTCCAATCGGATAGCCCGTAAAGTGTCATAGGAACACAGTCTTGTATGCATCGAAGATTGTCTCCGAGTGCAGTGAGAATTTTTCAGGATTATTTCTACAATCCTTTGACAATTCCACATCTTCTTTTTTCCCAGGACTGTTTTCCAGCCAGATTCAAAGGAGTCCACTTTGTTAACCAGCCTTGGTATGTGAGATTGCTAATGGCTGTCATCCGACCAATTTTAAAGCAGAAGGCCCAAAATAGAGTGAGTTTTTTTCTTCATTATTGCCTTGCTGTAGGCACTACGTTGCCCAAGGAAGACTTATTCAATTAACAAGAATATCCTGATACTTGTCAGCTTTTTGTGTTGCCTAGATGACGCTATTGGATTTTCGCTATTTCGCCTATTTGATTTTGCTTTGGTAGGCTACACCCTTCGACCGAACAGTTATCCAGAAGGGGGATATTGTCCATTCATTCACACCTATTATTTAAATAATATTCCCGATGCAAAAACTTTGGTGAACAAACTAGTGAGTTAAATAAAGAATCTTTCCAATGTTCGGCTAATTTGCATAGTAGCAATTCCGTTACTCCTATGGCTACAACTCTGCCATAGCATTATTAGTTACAACTGCACTTCATAATGAAATTTTTGCCTTAAAATCTTAAGGGTCCCCCCTGATCATTTACAGATCCATTTCCACGGAAAAGATGTTTTGCGTCTTCACAGCTACGTTCATCCAAGTGTGCTGCCTCCTGACCTGTGTGGCGATCTAAAAGTTTCAGACAAATCTTGGCTTTATAAAGCTTTACTTGACAGAGAAGTGAGCAAACATAAAAGTTGATTGAATTTGGTAGATTGTATTTGGTACTAACTGTCGTGCTTACCTACATTATATAATTCATGCATGTTTATACAAGTTCATTCACCATTATTACTCGCTTTTATCGCTTTTGATTCTGCACGTGCCGTCGCCAAAACAATTGAAAAGTCAAGAGAAGAATTTCAAGACATAACCATAGAATTTCACTCGAGAGAGAATGCAGCAATGTAAAAGCAATATGCCAGAAGCAGACGTTTCATCTGAAAAGACTTTATATTGTGAATAACTGTAAAGAACTCATTGTCATTCTTCACCAAATCCTTCATTCTAGGATATCATTAGATTTATTTTGGAATTTTCTGAAGGTAATTGTGACGCGAAAAGCAAAAAAAACTGTCTAAGCTATTCATCCCTTCTTCGGGTTTCCTGGAAGGAGACTGCAGAAACGTTGGTGCTAAGCATAGCCAACGTCAAAAGCAGCCTACAATCATTATGTTCCCTGCTACGTTACCTTTAGTTCAGCGATCGGGTTGGGCAAAGATTTTCCAAGCGGAATTTGATAGTGAGTCAAAAAGTCTTTCCTAAGAAAATATAAAACTTATTTTCAAGATAACCACTACCATATACAGAAACCCTAAAAGTTTGACCCTGGATTACAATGCCTTCACCTGGCGTCATTTGTTCAAAATGCAACTTTGTAACCCTGTCATTTAGTCTCCAGCCGAAACCACCGTTGTTTGAAGCGTACAAGAGAATTTACGTGAATATCAAACAAAGAGAAAAGCAAGGATTCCAGACTTTGCAGAAAATGTCAACTTTGCTAGTATTACGTTTACTTTAAAAACCTATTTGAAAGGAACCATCTTTAGCTCTATGCATTATTTCTGTCTACTGGAGCTAACTCTCTAGATGTTGAGAACTATGGGCTATTGCAAAGCTATAAAAAGCAGTAAAAACCATGTGTACATAATACGGAGAAAAATCTTGCGTCATAAATTAGATACCAAGATAAGCATTATACCAGATTTGCGTTACACACTTAAACAAAGATATCACATATTTTCAAGACAGTTTAGAAATCACCTGCAACGAGCCAAGCCCGAAAGATATGGCGACCATATGCATATGTGTGCAGTTTAGGTAAAAATGGATTGGGCACTAATACCCCTCTTTAAAAGTAGCACTGGCGGCGTCCTTAACAATTTCTATACTCTAATCTCATTTACTACATTTGATTGTCTATACCTGCCAAGCCTCGTGTTAATATCTTTTCCGTGAAAGAGTAAAACACAGGGAACTTTGCTTTTACCCCCATCTAAACGTAGAATTGGGGGCATATTTAAGAATTTTCAAACTCTAATCTTATTCAGTGCATCAAATTGCTTTTACCTATCAAATTTTGCGTAAACATCTGTTTCTAGACTATAGATAAAGGTGTTTCTTTCTGTGGGGACTTGGCATGAGAACCTAAGTCTAAAAAAACGGGTTAGGGGCATTTTTCAGAATGGTTCCAACCTTCACCTTTTCAGTATCACAAAAGTGTCTATGTCTGCTAAATCGCATGCTTTTATCGCATTTTGCACGATGAATTTCATTATCTGCTGTACTAACTGGTATGCAAAATGTTCTTTGACTTGATTGGTGTAAGCAAAGCTGCTTCAATATTGATTGGTTTAGGCAAAGCTATTTGTATCCTGGTTGGCGTACATCAAGCTTCACCCCCTTTAAGCATGCAATTTGTACAGGTATGTATCTACATTTATTTATCTAGACAACACTGTTTCTTTAATTTCATAAGCCTTTTGGATGTGGAGCAATTTCATAAACATTTTCCTTGAATTCCTACAAGCAGCCCTAGAAGCATAATTTTTCTGCAGAGCAACTGCCGAGACAGTTTTATTCATCATGAAGACAATCAATCTGTACTCGACCTAACTGCCTGGAAGAGATTATGTTTATGCAGTGCCAAAGAGGGGCTATGTCTATCCGCACTTCTTATTTAGAAATGAAATTGGATTAATAACCATATTCTCTTTGAGCACATATTCTACTCTTTGAGCACATATTTTTTACAACATTATATAACTTTTACGCAGTAACATATAACTACGAATCTGGAATACCATGAATGTAAAGTTGCATTTTCTCGAGCAAATTGATCAATGCATAAACGTTCGATATCATAACACTATCTGCTCAATATCTGTTGGTCACAATGCCAGGATCAGGCTCAAAAACAGTAATGGTACCGTCGTTAAATAATTACACATAATGGATACATTTAAATGAACTACTAACATTAGAAGAATAGGAAAATGTCGCTTATAAAAATGCCAACCAGATCCATGAGGTACCTCTCATTTGTTATAGTCGATTTTCTAAAAAATTCACATCATTGAATTTCACCATTTATTTCCTTACTGAAAGAAGATTGTTTGCTAGAATCAGGACTCTGTGCCCCAGATCATACCCATAAACTATTCACTGTCATGTTAGTTTCAAGCTTTGCTGAACTAGAAAGGAACATTACTTCTTGAGTAACCACCTCCACGTTTATGAAAGATACTAAAACTAGCATTTACATCACTTGATTAAGGCACGGCGCAGCCATTGGGCTAGCAGAGGCTTTAGCCCCCCCCCCTCACTTAAAAATAATTTTGGAAGGTTTGCTCAAAGAAAACTTTGGAAAGTTTACTCCTATGTAAATCTTCTTTAGTTGGAATCTTTTTTGCTCATTTTCTAGGTGTTTCATCTTGTTTAATGATATGATGTGTTTTCCAACTTAGTTAGCTTAGTGTTTTATTACCCTCAAGCTAATTTTATCTATTTTTATAGTTATTGATAACTTTTCTCAACCAGACTGTTTATAAAAGTTTACTGGAAATAAACAGGTATTTTCTAAAAGAGGCGTTTTCGGGCGTTCTAGAGGGCGTGGCCTCAAAAAAATTTCAGGCGCACCCATTTCAGCCCCTCCACTTTTAGACTAGTGCGCGGTCCCTGATTATTAATTTCAATAGAGAATTTGTACCTACAGTTGTACCAGTAGGGTATCAACAGTCAGGCCATTTTTTTAAGGATTTCTGAGTGGTGGGCATTTTTCAAAAGGGCCAATGCTCACCTCAAGAAATTGTACAGGGTTTATGGACAGATGCTTCAGATTGTAATTTGCTTCTGCTTATGCAAAATATCCCAGTTTGTTGCAAGGGCTTGATGGGTTGTTTCACACATATATGTCATGTATAAGACAACTTTTTAGCTTAGATGTGTTCCTGCTGAAGAAATTAGCTAGAGAAATTAACAATTTAGCTTGGGATGCCGAATTCAAATATGCGCATTTACACTCTGAGTACCAGAGCCAAACAAATTCGAGCGTTGAAATAGATGAAAGAAGTGGAAAGCTGGAGACCCTCCTCCGCTTCTTAGCTTTGGCATCTGGGGGTAAAAGTAGACATATTCAATAATCAATAAGGCTTAGTAGGTAATTTACATATAATAAGAGCAAACGTGGTGCGAGGATGGAACCCTGAGGAACACCAGTAGAAATTGTTGCATAACGAAATAGCTTTCTATTGAAATCAACTAACTGCGTTATACACTCTAAATATGAGGACAGCCAATGTAGCTAATGCGGACAGCCAATGTAGCCTTTCTTAGATCCAGAAAAAGATCACGAGTTAATAGACCATTATCCATGTCAGTGTAGATTGTATCTATCATATGTAAGAGGGCAGACGTAGTTGAGTAAAGTTTTCTGAACCATGATTGTAGCTTGTGAAGCAATCCTTCCTTGACTAGGAATGCATAAATATGATTGAATGCAATCCTCTCTATGATCTTACTCAGGCTACATAGGATTGAAATAGGACGATAGTTGTCAGCAATTTGAACGTCATCAAATATAAAGACTAGAACAATTCTTGCTCTTTTCCAGATGATTGGGAAACGACCAAACACTGAACGAGAAACTGATAATATTTACCATAGCTTTAACAAAGCCATCAGATTGGCAGAGAACTTTTATAGTTTTGATAGGTGATTCATCCAAACCGGTCCATTTGGAATTATTTAATTTGTTAATGATGTCCTTGACTTGGTTAGGGGTTGCTGATGGATGCATAATTCTGATTTAGTTTCTATGGTAGGGTGGACCAGCTGAGGGGGTGGCAGATGTGATGTAATCTCTTGGGCGGCGGTGCTGAAAAAGTCATTAAATACGTTAGCTATGTCAGGTGGGGCAATTTCCCATTTCTGAACATGTTAACAAATGCCTTGCCAAAAGTCTTAATTTTAGATCCACCGTTAAACCGTAGGCCTGATTTATCATTGTCATCCGGTATAAAAAACCTACGTGTTTAGACCATAGAGATGTGGTTTCGACTGTCGAGTGGTTTCGATCACAGGGCATCAAGGCAGACCGTGCCCTATTCCATTTATGGTAAACTTGTAAACCCGAAGCATTTCCTCGTAGGAAAGAAGTTGTTTGAGTAACCAAGTTTTTCAAAGGTAAGATATTTCCCAAATTTTGGTTATTTATTTTATAGTCCATTCATGATCTTTGTCAAGGATGAAGCTGTGTCATTTTTTAATCAAGCATTCAAACACCAATATAATCACTTAGGCCCAAACTCCCTCCAAGTTGCTCTGTCTATTTCGGACATTGTGTTTCTTTGAATGAAGTCTTAAAAGTGATTTCATTATGGTTTCAAAACAGAAGTTATATCAATAGAATAAATTAATGTTTAAAGTAAAATCCAAAAACAATTGGTCCAACAACACCCTTTAGCTAACAAACAGGACAAATTTTCACTCAGAACCACACCCAGCAAATAGCGTCCCAACAAAGAGTGTTATTTGAAATGTTGATTCCTAAAAGTAGATTTTATAATTATTGAGATAAAGCTATTCTCAGCCACACACCCTTTAGAAAACCAAATAGTGAGCCTTTAGGTCTAAAAAATTAAAGCAATCATAAGAACATGTACGTTCATACGAAGTAAACTGTGAAAAACCAGTCTTACATAACTGTAACTCTTGCATATCGCTTTCTGCCTCTACCAAACTATACTTACAGGCCTGTGCCATTCAAAAATGGAAGTGTTTCATGCTCTAAATTTGGAGATTCACTATAAAATATATTGTTGAATATAAGAAAGCGTAGAAATTGCAAAATAAGAAATGGGGATAAAATAGGTCATATGGACCAAAGACAGAGATACAACTTTTTTGGGGGGGAGGGGGGGCGGCCCTAATAAATAAGTGTAAAAACAGCCATATTTTACAAAATTAAAGTGCTTTACTTATACTACTAAAGTTTTTTTAAAGGGTCAAGGCCCCCACCCCCCTTGATATCTTGGTCCTTGATATGGACTATAATTATTTCTTTCTTTGCAAAGTTAAAGATGCAGGACCAAAGTCAAGATACAGAATGGAATGATGCACTACGCAAACATGGAATCATACCAGAAAAAAAGGAAGTGGAAATTACGCAAGATCAAATTGAACATTTAATGGACAATGTCATAAAACAGAGAACTGAAGAGAAGCCATTGAACATTTTAAGTCTTGATGAATTAGATGAAAAGGAGGATGATGAAGATGACAGGGTTCTACAGCAAATAAGGTATTTTTTGCATCCCATTTTTGAAGGGAGCTCTTTATAAAGTAGAATTTGTTTTTCTAACCCTGTAAATATTTCTGTCTTATAACAGATCTCTTTACTTTGCAGTATTCAGATTAGCTATACACAAAGTAGTCATATAGAAGTCTTTAATGATCACATGTGAGCCTCCCTAGGGGCGACAGACAGTGCTATTATTGCTATTACTTTAATAGCAATCTTTTTTCAAGGCTACTTCGTGTGTAATGTAAGAAAAATAAAGCAAAACAGAGAAATTTTCAACCAGGGTTCTAGTGGTAATTGCCACATTTAATTGAAATAAAGTAGACGCAGCAGACCTTTCATCAAAAGCCAATATATCCCAGCACCAGAGGAGCCTCATTCTTCAGCCATAGATTGGTCATGCTATTACTTTTGCTTTTTTTATAGCAAATGAAGGGAATAAATAGTACATTGCATCATAACTCCCTTTGTTTGCTGCGCAATAGGCTATTGTTTGCTGCGCTGCTTTGCTATTAAAATCTCAGTTGTAATAGCAAGAGATAAGATAGGTGCTCATTTCGAAGAGAACAAAGTAGCTTGATGTCGAAAAAGACAAATTGTATCGCGTCTGCTTGTAAAGACAGGTTGTTTCAATGGTTTCATTTTTTATATTTATGCAAATGTAGTCAAATTAACTCATGAGCAGCACCTTCACCTCAAAATGATGGATGTCCTAACCCAATGTTAAAGTTAGTAAAAAGCTGATTCCGATAAAATTTGATTCAAGGTGATTCAGATATAAAGTACATATTATTGCTGCTTGCCTCAACAATTTTTTGACTTTGATGAATTCAATTGTTTTTCTTTATTGGAAGTTTCCTATCATTGTTTAAACAGAATAAAAATTAACAGGTGAACCAAAAGTGTGACTGAATGATCAAAATAACATCTTTTCAATCTCTCAGATTACAAAGAATGGCAGAATTGAAAGAAAAACAGAATTCTGCCAAATTTGGAGATATCAGAGAAATATCTGCAAATGAATATGTAGAACAAGTTACCAATGCTGGAGAAGGAATTTGGGTAGTGTTGCATCTTTTCCAGACATAGTATCCTTTTTTAAATGTATGTTTTGTATACCTGCTATCTGCTTTGGCAAGAATCTAGAGCTATGCTTTGTAATGGTGAGATACTGAAAGCAATGATTTTGTTTCCAATGAGCTGCCTGCACTTGTATTGTTGTTAGTTAAAAGAGTCAATAAACAGCCCTTAAGGGATTAAATAAATCTTTGGACAAGTCTTTTGTTCACGGCTTCATAACCAAAAAACACTTTTTCCTATTATGTCACCTTAGATTCAAAATCATTAAATCACAAAAAGTACACAATGATGATCTGTGCTGAGAAAGAGACATCTGCTATTTTGGTGACAAAACTTCTAGAAGTCTTGATAGAAACATAGATGGGCTGAAAGATCAACAAGATGTAGAGCTCCCTATTTTTTATTGTGCATCTTTTTATTTGAAATTTATTAGATACATGTTTCTCCTGAAAATCAAGGATTGTTGCATAATCCAAAACGGCCCTTAATTCCATCAATATATTAGACCTGTTAACAGGTTTTAGCCACCTCAACCGTATGTGAAATTAAACCCCCATGAAGTTATTCAATTTATTGTTGTATGCAAATTTTGTGCAAAACTTCTTCCTCTCCATGGGCATAATGCTTCAACCCAATGCATAGGTAGGCAAATTGAAACAACACTGCTCAGGTGAATCATCCTTAACCAGATTTAGTGTTCCACTATGTACCCAGATAAATAAGTTTCTTGTTCAACTTTCAAGAAAATTTCAAGCAACAAAGTTCTTAAAAAGCGTATCAACCAATTGCATCAAAAACTATCCAGATAAAAATGTACCAACAATATTTATTTACTGTGGAGGAAACCTTAAGGGACAGTTTGTTGGACCACATGTGTTTGGTGGAATGGATTTGAACCAGGATTGTGAGTAGACATTACATTATTTTTTGGCTTTGAAAATGGCTTTGAAAATAGCAAGCATTTTCAAACGTTTAATGCTCTGAGGAATGTCAGACGAAAAAGCTTTTAGCCAATATGTTGTAAAATGTTTGCTTTTTTCAAAGCCAAATACCTAATTTCCATTTTCAGATGTGTTTCAGTTATTAAGCATTCAGTGGAGTACTGTTGAAGATAAATTACTCTTATCTCAATCAAGTTTGTTGCAAATTGTTTAGTGGATATAAGTGACACAAGATATTATGTCCTCAATAAGCATCATTGTTAATTTTCCCTGGATAATAAATCTCCCCCCCCCCCACATAGCAATATCACTTGTTGGTAAACTTGTGTTTAGGTAATCTTATTTTGCAGTTTTTAGTGCTACTGTATGTTTAAATGAGTTAAACTACAAAAAACTACAACTGCTGCATTTGTGTTTCCAGGCCTTGAGTGGATGCTGTCCCAAACAGGTGCAGTAGAGACGACGCTAACTGAAGACCCTAGACTGAAACTTGCAAGGAACTCGAACTCAATGACGATATTAACACGAGACCGAAGGGCAGTGAGAGACTCTGATTCGGAGTCTGATGATGATGATGATTAAAGCCACGATTTTTTTTTAATATATTTTTATCAAAAGACCTTCTACGACAAACCAGCCTTTTTATTGAATATGTGATTTACTCAGGGTTAGCTTACAGCATGACCGATTTTTCAACAATGCCAAGACGCAATTCAATTTTTTTAAATGTTTTTCTTAATTCCACGAAATATTCCATCAAGTCGATAAAAACGATAAGGCGTCGAAGGAATGCTGCACAAAAACATTTTGTTAGCTGTAAACCTTTTTAGGGAAGAACGTTTCGTTGGATGAAAGTTTCACAAATTGAATAAACGCGAATTTTTTGGAATTAGCTTTCGCGAAAGAAGCCAAATAGGATCTTTTGTAAGAATAAACTTTTGCGTTTTAGGAAACTGGAGTTTCCTTCTGTTTTGATTCAACTTAATACCAACAAAAGAAGAAAAGCAATATTGAAATTCGTTAAAAGCAACCATTCGTCATCAAAGTTTCCAATTCCAAGAGGATCAACAGTATTGTTCTCTGGATATTCCGCGATAATAAACTTTCGCAAATTTCGTATTTCAGGACGTTTTGCGGATCAAACCTTTTTTCTATTGATCGATTTTCAAATCACACTGTTTGATGAAAATGCAAGGTTGGCTATGTCTTGGAAATTACAGACCAATGGCAGTTCTGTCTGCTATTTCTAAAGTTTAGGAGCGTTTGATGTTTGAACAAATCGTAATTTATTCAGGATCTTTCCTGTTTCAGTATCTCTGTGGATTTCGGGAATACACAACAGGCTCTTGTGAATGTGAATGTGTAAAGGATATTATACACAACAGGCTCTTGTAAGATTTCTCGAGAAATGCAAATCAGTTTTGGACAAAAAAGGATTTGCAGGAGCAATCTTGATGGACCTCTCTCTAAGGCGTTTGATTGCATAAATCATGAACTGCTAATTGCCAAATTATCTGCTTACAGTTCTAGCGGATCAGCTCTAAAATTGATTCATAGTTACTTAAATGAAAGGCAGCAAAGAGTGAAGGTTAATGTTTCATTCAGCACCTCGAAATTGACTTCCTTAGGTGTTCCCCAAGGTTCAGTTTTGGGACCCCTGCTCTCCAACCTATATATTAGTGGTTTCTTCTACCTGGTGAAAGATACTGAGATTTGCAACTACGCAGATGACACTACTATCTTTGCGTGTGGTTCAGATCTGGGTCCAATCTTAGAATCACTTGAAAGGGATGCCGCTTTACTATCACTCTAGATTGAAAATATCTATATGAAGATGAATGAGGATAAAAGCCATTTGCTTGTCTTCGAGGATGAAGATGACAAGGCAACTGTAAATATTTTTGGATCTTTGCTAGAGGAAAGTGACGAAGAGAAACTACTAGGAGTGACACTCGACAAAAAACTGAATTTCAAAACTCGCGTTAATAATCTTTGTAAGAAAGCAAACCAAAAGCTGCATGCACTGGCACGAGTGTCAAGATATATGGAAACGCCACAATTAGAATTAACAATGACCTCCTTTGTAATGTCGCATTTCAGTTATTGTCCACTTGTGTGGATGTTTCATGATAGGAAATCGAATAACAAGATCCGTGAAAGAGCCCTCAGAATCATACAAAGAGATAGTACTTCCAATTTTGAGAAACTTTTAATTAAATGTAACTCAGTATGTGTTCACCAGAAGAATTTGCAGCTGCTCCTGACAGAGATTTATAAAACCGTAAACAACTTGAATCCGTCTTTTATGGCGGAAATATTTGTTACTGAAGATGTGCTATATGGCCTTCGTGGCGGTAATAATCTTGTTTTTTCTGAGGGCTAGAACGAATTCATATGGTATTGGTACTATCAGATATATTAGTCAAAAATTATGGCAGACTTTGCCAAAAGAAATCAAAGAGTCCCGAACATTAGAAATGTTTAAAAGAAATATCACGTCCATCCAGGACATTTGGACTGCAGGTGCAAATCGTGCAAAGACTTTGTTCCGAATCTAGGTTTGTGTAATTAGTATATTTTGTGATTTGTATATTTTGTGTAGTTGGCCTTATTTAGCTTCACGCTATTTTCTCTGCTAGCTTTAAATAAATTTTTATATTTATATTATATATATATATGCCTAATTTGGTAGTGCAGATAAAGCTTGTTAATTTATCTTATCAATGCATTGTGTTTGCATCTTAACACTTCTCTATCTATTTCCTTTGCAACTTTCGATTTGAAAACCGACTGAACGCAAAATTTTTGTTCTAAAATTTATTATAAATAATTAATCAGGAGTAAGAGAAAGTGTTTGCTCAAAATATTGTGCTATGTTGGCAAACCATAAACTTAAAAGATATCGTTTGCTAGATTTTGATAGAAAAAAGAAAGTGACAGTTGCAAAGATAAAGTAGACTACTTACAAGAACGTCTTACACAAACATTTAGAACGAGATTGAAAATTCCCTTTCACGAATTTAAAGATTGCAATTTCAGAAGAGAATTAGTAACTGTATTATAGAAAGTTAAATCCTAACCCAGAAGCATTGAATGCTTAAACCCATATTTAGCTGTTCATTCCTGTATTTTATTTTCAGTAAAACTCTAGATAATTTGCTGCTCGTTAAAAATCCAAAAACCACAGTTCTTTTTTCGTTTAGAAATAATTTTCCACGTATACCTTACCACAGTACCCACTTCAATTCTCTAAAATTTTTGTTAGCCTGTGAAGAAAACCCACGCTAAGTCAAAGTTGCAAAAAAACTTTTTATGTTTGATTGTCGCCATTTCATGGAATGAATCGAAGGGTGATAAAAGATGGAACAAGCCTCATAATTAGACTTAAGTCATATGTGCTTCTGCCATGTGCTAGAAGGCCCTAGAAGGAGCTGGAAAAAACCATTTATCGATTCATGAACATTCAAAAGCCATTTATAGTCATCATCCTTCTATGGCAAGAATACAGCTCTCTTTCAAGGCGGCTTCATAGAGCGCTCCGCTGTTCTTAAATTCTTTTCAGTTTCTCCCGATGTAGATACAAGAATGTGTTCTTACAAGACTAGAGCAAACAAGAGAGCCTGTCGCATAAGGTCGGTGTGGCTAAAACGTGTAAACAGGTTTAATACCTTGAAGGAATTCAGGGCCTTTTTGGATTACACAAAAATCCTTAATTTTCAGGAGAAACATTAATAAAATAAAGATCAGATGAAAAGATGTAGGGTAAAGATTTTACCATGCCAACTGAAGCTATTATTTATCGGTATTTACACACCCTCGAAATGTTGCTTGAAAAAAACAATATAAAAACAAACACGGATGTACAACATGTTGATAAAGGCATCAAGGAAGCCGATTCAAATGACGCTAAGGAAAACTGGAAACAAGAAGGCAAAATACCAGCTGCCTTTTAATAATTGCATACTTCATTTCCCAAAGCAAGACCTCGAAATCAGGGAGGGAATGTAAGCAGTTGTAAAGGAAACTTAAAGGTAGGGAATCTTTTACTGAGTTCTTATTGACTAAGTGATTCGCATTTAAGGCAAAGGGCAATTCGACTGAGTCAGTATAATGCGCGCTCGGACGGAAGTGCAGGATTATAAAGTATTGGAGGTTGAAGACAAATTTTGATTTTGGGAAAGTTTATTAAAAAATCATAAGTCCAGCGCTTTCTAGGCCAATACAGACTCATCAAAATTCACTGACGCGCCCTTTAGCATGCTGCAAAGAAAACCGAAACTGAACAAAATGTTAAAGTTCAGAACAATATTGTAGCTAGCGCGACTTCCGTAAACCTCATTCCCTCAGCGATGTAAAAAAATGGCTACGGAGGCGGTACAGCTAAGGTTTGGATAGAATGAGACAAGCACAGCTTATGAACCATGTGAATGAATTTATGAACGAGAATTTGTCGAAAAGAATGGAATTTGTTAAAATCAGAACCAGGACAAAATAGGATGTAGGTTAAAAATGTTTGATGACATTCGAAAACTCGGTAGTCCCAAACAAGATACAAGATGATTATTTTTCTCTGGACAGGTGCTTTAAAGCATGTTTCGCATACAATATAAAACACCGTTTCGCAATCAAATACTACCAGGCAGGAGAGAGGTCTTTGACATTAGGACGAGCATAAACTGTCCTCTCTCTGCTGCCTTATCTTCGGGGCGGGGATTAAATTCTGTTATACTGAAAGGTTTTAAATTCAGTTCACTTTGTTTTGATTGTTTCTCCCTACCGTCCGTATTTATCAAAAGAAATAAGCAGATTTAAAAGGAATTGAGTTTTGAAACATTTTTTTCTTAAAGATTAATGCCCAGACAAGCAAATCAAGCCAGTTTGCTTCAGCACCTTGGCCTTTTATTCTTTACCAGCTGTAAATACAGTTATTTGTGCCTTTCACCTTTTGCACTACACAACCCCACCCCGCTTATTATGACCCTCTTTTTATGGATATCAGCCCTCCCTTCTCTAAAACCCTTACTCTGTGAGTAGTAATTCGATAAAAAAATCTGAAGTGGGATCACATCATGCATCACAGGAAGTTCCGCATATATCTAAGATTCTTTATCAAAGAATAAGATGTTCCTTGCAAACATGTTCCTTGTCACATTTTGTCGCAATAACCTTCGAAATAGAACTGGTGTTTGAAAATCCACGGATAATACTAATCTCTTTCTTAGTACCGTTTATTGACATGTTGTTATTTATTCTCAATAAACTATATTTTAAGAAATTCTGATTGGATTTTTCGTTCTAATTAGATAGAGTTAGTTTCAAATTAAAATTAAAATGTGAATTGGTTTTAAATTGACAATATCGACAATCGCAGCAGCCACAAGAAGATATCAAGCACTGGTACTCACATAACATAAGCACTTACCGTTACAATCATGATTGCAAAAAAGCGTTGGGGGCTTATTTGCCTTATTTGCATAAGCAATATCGACAGCACTATACAGCTGCTTTGCAAGATACAGGCTTAAGCGAATTCAAACCAATACAAGCTTTTCGATGAAAACTTGAATCAACAAGAACGCCTTAAAATAGCTTTGCATCTGAAATTTGGAGAATTTTTTAACGATGCATGTCATGAAATACACCAACAAAATATCAAATCCAAACTTTTCTATCTTGTTGATAATGAGTCATTTACAGAGCCTTTGCAAACTGGAAACGACAAATTAATCTGTTTAAACAAAGAATGTGGGTATGCAGTAGCAAAAAACTAAGTGTATGCTTAACTGATCAATCTGCTGACATTGCAGGATCCAACATGAACTCAGGGAAGCTGTGTGTAATGGTTGCTCTCATGGCAACGTGGTTCTGTTTGACGAATGGTCTTTCGGAAAGCGGTAAGTTGAGTTGCCTCGACAAAGAATTCGCTACCTTGTAGTTGAAGTTGCCCAAACTGACAGTTAAATCTCTAGGCAATTAGTTAAATCTCTAGGCAATTCAGCAGCCCTCGAACTAAGCAACCTTGTGTTTTTCTTGTAAATTTCTAAACTGATTTAATCAATTTGTTTTTCAACTATTGAAAAGATTACTCAAGATAGTTCGAAGAAATCCGGTATTTCTGCCTTTTTCTTGTTAGTTATATGATGTAAAATGTAATGTAAACATTTTCACACCAGCCAAACGCAACAATCTCACACAATCTCCCCCCCCCATCCATCCTTCCCAGCAGAAGGTCGAGTAGACCAATATTTTCATTACATTTTCATTTCTCCGCTTGTTATATTTTGATCAACTTGTTTTAGTGCTCAAATCTTACTTCTATTTGAACGTTTTCTCACTAGGACTGGACAGCAGCTCAAATAGCATCAACATGATAACAGAACAAAGCACCGTCATGATAGCCGGTTATTTCGGGGTCCATTTTAAGAATTCATCGGCTCCTTCATATTGTGGTAGCCTCGTTCATGATGCAGGCATAACCCTAGTGGAGGCTATGAGATATGCTGTGGAGAAAATAAACGGGAAAGCATTTTTGTTCGGAAAAAAGCTTGGTTTCAGGATTGTAGATACCTGCAGCAATACTGCAACACTACGCCGGTCACTTTTCCATACACTGCGTATGGATTATTACATTGGGGTCGTTGGCCCAGCTGCATCGGACGAAGCCATCCTTGCTGCTGCGGTCCACAGCGTCGACAAAGCGGCAGCCGTCAGCTATTCTGCAGCCAGCACGGTATTTGAGGACCGTAACACCTACTATAACTTTTTCAGTACAATTCCATCTGATGAGCTACAGGTAAAGGCCTTGGTGGATCTCATTAGTTACTTCAACTGGACCTATATCTCTACGGTGAATTCGTATGGTACATATGGACAACGGGGAGTTGACAACTTTATTAAGGAGTTACAAAAGAGTAAAGCATGCGTCGCAAGAAGAATTGACTTACCTGATTATCCATCAGACAACGACTTCATGCGAACAGTCACAGAACTGTTGTCGGTTGAAAAAGCGAAGGTTGTCATTCTGTTCACCACGCAAGCCGACACCCGTCGTCTTCTTACAGCTGCAAAAGATGTAAAAACCTTGACCTGGGTTTCAAGCACAGGTTGGGATGCAGATTTGAATGTGGTAGACGGGGCTCGACAAGCTGCAAATGGATCACTTATTCTTCAGTATGCAGGGGCTAGCAATGCTGAATTCATGAACTACTTTAAAAATATGACATTGAAATCGAACAATTACACGTGGTTTAGGGAGTTTTGGAGTGAAGTTTTCGAATGCGATGCTGATGGGAAGGACAGTAGGAAGCCAAGGTGTTCTGGTGTTGAGAATTTAAACAACAGCTCTTTCTATGGCAAGTATGCTCCTGTGCAGCCTGTACTGAGTGCAGTTGAATCTGTTGTTTGTGCCTTACGGAAAATCATGTTGAAATGGTGCCCGTCTGGAAACACAACATGCATTGATAGAATCTGGAAAGGAACCTATGTGTTTGAAGACGGCATTGTTAATAATTTGAAGAGTGGAAACAGTTCTTGTGCAGGCCTTGAGGATTCAGTTGACTTCAATGCAAAGGGATACTACTCAAGAAATTTTACGATCTTAAATTTTGATGGAGCAACATACAAAGAGGTTGGTATGTGGATAGAAAATACAACCGCTGGTAAAAAGAACTGGCAGATTATGGATGAAAAGATAACTTGGAAAGGCAGTGCGATGCCTGTCTCTGTTTGCTCACTGCCATGTAAATGGGGTGAGGTGAAAGTTTCAAGTAACCGCGACTGCTGTTTCACATGTAGACCCTGTGGAAACAATGACATAATAAGAAATGATAGTTGCATCCAATGTGGTGAATTTGAGAAAGCTAGCGATGATTTGGTTATTTGCAAAGCACTGCCTTTGGTGTTCATAGATGTAAACAGTGCTGCTGGTTGGGTAATTGTGATTGGCTCCTTAACAGGAATTTTGCTGAACACAATGTTTCTTGTTGTGTTTGTTAAATTCAGAACTTCACGAATTGTTAAAGCCTCCAGCAGAGAGCTCAGTTTTATAATCATACTTGCTCTATATGTATGCTTTATCTCACCGTTAACCATGATGATGAGACCATCACAAGTTGTGTGTGGACTGCAAAGGTTTATCATCGGACTTAGTCTGACTGGCTGCTACACGCCCCTGATGCTGAAGACCAACCGTATATATCGTATTTTCAAGGCATCAATATCGATGATATCGAAACCTATGCTAGTTGGCTCAAAGTCACAGATCTTGATATGCATGGGTCTACTTGGGGTTCAGCTATTGTTGGGCATTATGTGGGTTGTAGGGGACCCACCCACTGTTGTCAACAGACACATTAATGACAAAACACAAGTTGCTGTCATTTGCAAGTTTGATGCATTCAACGTCATTCTAAATTTGATTCCATGTTTTGTTCTCATGGCTATTTGCACCGTTTTTGCCTTCAAAACCCGAAAATTTCCAACAAACTTTAACGAAGCGTACAGCATTGGCTTAACGATGTACGTCAGCTGTTTTCTCTGGGGTGTTTTCATCCCCCTTATTCTCTTTCTTGAAATGGACAAAGAGAGTGTCTTTGTGACGATTTACGTAATTGCATCATTTACAATTATCGTTGGATTGATAACCCTACTTGGACTCTTTGGCCCAAAGCTGAGCAAATTGCTGTTTGACAACAGAGTAGCCCCTACGATGGAGATGTTCTCAGAATTCAACAGCAAAAGGCAGGAATCTGTGCCAAATTCTGCCGTACAACAGCAGCAACAGCAACTAGCAACAATCACCGAAGACGAATCTTATTACGAGCACAAAAATACGGCAATAATGCGACTGAAGACAGTTTCGAAAGATGCGTCCACCAACACGTGACTTAAGCAGCGTTAGATTTACTTAAGGTAGCAAGGGCGTGGTTGTTGCAGGTGGATGAACAAATGGACTTGACATTTGGTTCAGACACGAAAATAGGCCCTAGAAAACTCCTTTCTTCGCCTTTTAGACCATTTCTGAAAAGGAATCCCGAGAGGAAGATGCTGGCCATCTTAATCCTGCGCTACCGAGTTTTGTATAGACTATTTCGAATATATTAGAATGCAAACTTTATATTCAGAAAAATGTGAGATTTCTAGAATTGGAAGAGAATCACGACCCGAGGAAACTGGCTCATTCGCCAAATCTTTTTCAGAAATTGAGAACGTTTCTTCATTGACAAGAAATCTTTAAAGCATACTGCACTTAACCGTGATACTAAAATTTTTATATCTTCAGAATTCTAGTCGCACCAGATTCTCTCATCATCTAATAAACCAATTAGGATGCAGGATTACTTCAATCAGCTTCAATCAGCAGCATCATGAATGGGTCCTTAAAAGCTGATTTTTAATGTAATTCTAAGAAGCCTTTTTCTCTTCTAAGAAACCTTTTAGCTCTATCTTTGTTAGTGGTAGTTGATAAGCACAGGACATTGTTGTGGTGGCTTTGTTGACGTCACAAAGGAAAACTGTAGACTCCTTGGTATAACATTCATTTTCATTAATTATCCCTTAAACTATTTGCTTAAAAAAGATAACGGTCCTTTAATTTGATTTATTAAAGATCCCTTCTTAAAATCTTCAACTGCTTTGCGATGTAAATTTTTATATATATATAAACTCCTCTCCCAAAAGTACTCGAACAGTCGGGAAAAATTATTGGCTTAACTTACCACGCAATCTAAGTGAAGAAGTACACTAGATTTTGGCGCGAAAATGAACAAGTAGCGCCAGTGAAGAAAAAGATTTACTGACAAAATTATTTTCAATAGCGGACAAATCATTCACTTTGAGCAATGGCAAAAACGAAATATGGAGGAAGATGAGAGAATGGCCATTAATAAAGTTTTTATGCCAAAGTTAAAATAAATAATAACCATGAAGTTTTGTGGTAAGATACAGAACCAGGCACTGTTCTATCAACGCCTCATATTGTATTGTCCTCTTCCAAAAAAACCTTCCCGAATTATGTCATCAAAATCGTTGGTAATTTAAATTAGTTGGTTTCAATTAGCTTGAGTATATGCATAGCTAGAATTTTTACCAACTTAAATAAAGAAAGAAAAAAAAGCAACCTTTTAATTTTCAATAAGACAATTCTTCGTGTCAGGCAACGAAAGATTCAAACTATTTGTCTGCTGCCAATAGAATACTACCTCTTCCAGGGCCTTCTCAAAGTCCAGGGCTGCATGTAATTAAAAATGCTATAACTTCTTTGGTTTTATATGAACAATTTAACGGATCAATATCCTCAAAAGACTAAGCAACATTGACATTTGGGCAATCATTTCTCGTCTTCTAATTGTCTTGTGGTGACCCCCACAAAATACTGTAAATTAAATCGCAAATAAATCGAATTATGGACTCGAAGTTTTGAAATTTAAGAGAAATTCTCTCTTTGTTTTATAAGTGGCTGAAATTCTGAAATTATTTTGTTGTCATTTTATAAATATAACCAAATTACTTTTTATTTTTTTCGTTAATTTGTCCATATATGACCACTGGCTTCCTTTCGAATACTTTTGGGACGGAGCGATAAACATTAATTTTTTGTATGCTATATATTGAATGTATATTGAAACCTTCACAGTATGTGTCAAATTTAAGATTTTTATGCAAACAGATATGATGGTATGACTTTCTGACTTCATAGCTTCATTTACAAACACAGTCTTTAATGTTTCACTCAATTTATAATATATTTTCAAATCATCCATTTACTTTTGTTTATGTACGGGTAGCTTGACATTAGATAAGGGTTCTATCGGTGAATATGTTATCAATAAGGAAGCAGAAAAAATTAATCAAAAATTCACTGAAATGATGCTTGGTGTTAAACGTAACAGCTCATCCCTGGCGGTGCTCGGGGATGAAAGTAGCTTAGCAAAGAAAACTTACAATGATAAATTCTCAAAGGCAGATGAAAAGTCGGATTGGAAAGCGACATTAGAATTCACTCTAAAAACTGTCGATGTTGTATTTTCCAACAAATTCTGACGAAATAACACCAATCAACAAATCTGTAAAATTAAATGTACGCCGTACGCCTGGGAATACAGTGGGGATACTGTGGTTATGCAAGTCTCGTTTTTATCACCTATCTTGTTTACCATTTCACAGGGGGAGGCAATGGCGGATTTAGGGGGGCTAGGGACAGTTACTCCTCCCTCAACGAGTTGAAGCAAGTTTGGCGCCTCTTTTTTGGAAATTTTGCACCCCTTTTGAAGAAAGAGAATAAGGTGAACAAATTTTTGAGACCGATAGGTTAATTTGCTTCAAGGATTACCTCAAAGTTTTGTTGTTTATTCCAAAATGGATCTGAAATGGTTGTATACAACCAACTCTGAAGACTAATTTTTGAAAATTTTTTAGCACCCCAACTACCAACTGCCCCTTCTTCAAATTTGCGCTGAATCCGCCCCTGGGGGGAGGCACCGGGCTGTTGGCCGCGGGCAGTTCCCCGGCCATTGGCTCAAGGACGTTGTTTCTCTAGGCCCATCAATTCAAAGTCACTAAACAATATTCAAAATCTTCAAAGGTTAAACTGGTCAACTCACCTTTTGGCTAGGTTGACAAGGTAGTAAGAGCTAGAATGAAATCCTTATTGCCAGGTCTTCGAAAAGCTAAGATTTTCCTAAAATAAAACGAAATTGTATTCTGTTGAGGTCAACAGCTTACAGTTTAATTTCGTACTAAGATGTACTTTAATGTTCGTTATATACAGTCTCATTATAACACATGTATGTATGTATGTATGTGTGTATGTATGTGTGTATTCATGTATGTATGTATCTATGTATCTATGTATAATTCTGTCATCAAATAAATTACAATTTAAAATTAAGAAAAAGATCTAATTACAGATATATAAAATTTACCGATGAAAGTTAAAAACATAGAATAAAAAACATCCCTGGTTGAAAATGGCAGGGATAGCATTAAAAAGGTCAATACAACCTTGTTTCCATAATCGTCCCTCCAGAGGTGTTATAAAAAAAATGTGTTAATGAAAAATGGATTTTGTATCCAAAACTTGGAAAAAAAGTAATTCTGGAAAATGTTAACTAGAACCTTTCGTTGGCTGAAATTGGGTTTTCAATAAAATATGTAAAGGCTATCCTTTTGACTTTGTAGATTATCAAAGAATTTATTTTTGGTCATATGTTTGAAACCATTGACGTTTTTTGCAGATTTTAGTTTTGATGGTAGATTGTTCCAAATTTTGGGACCAAGATATGAGAGGCAATTTTGCCCTATGTTTTTCTTTCGGAAAGGTTGATTCAGTTTGTTTTTAGATCTTCGAGTGATTCTGTTATGGCCAACTGGTAAGAACATCTCTGACATGTAGGGTGGGGCTGAATTATCAACAAATTTGAAAACCTTTGCAATCATACATTGCTCAAATCTCTATTTCGTGGGGAGCCATTGAATTCTTTATGTGCTCTGTTATTCAGATTCAAACAAAACCTGATACATTTATTTTGAGCTGTCTGAAATCTTTTGTTTAATCTTTTGTTTAAGAATGGAAACCAAGCACTGCTTACATAGTCAAAATGGGGCTGAATTAGTGCGTTTGCTAGCAATCTGCGAAGGGAGAAGTCGATAAAATGTTGCTTTCTGTAATAAAAAACAGAGCGTGCCATTGATTTTGCCTAGAATTTTCGTAGCCATTGATTCCCCGGACAGGTCCTCGTCAAGAATACAGCCTAGATACGTGACTGAGGTGTATTGTTAAATCTTGATGTCACCTCTTCTGATGTCCAGTTTTTTTCTGTCTGTAGGTTTATTCTTTCTACCAAAAAGTATCAATTTTGCTTGGTCCTATCCAAAATGAATGCTCAGTTTGTTATCAACACACCAATCGCAAAGAGGGTTAAAATTCCTGTTTAATTGTTATTCTATTTCATTCACGTTACTGTCTCCAAATACAAGACAGGAGTCATCTGCATACAGAAGTAAGTCACAGTCGACTGCCCGTGGCATGTCATTTACATATAAAACCCTGGTCAAACGATCCAACATCTCACCCAACATTTCGCCCAACACAAAGTTGGCTCGTTTGACCGCCTTGTTGGGTCACCCAACATCGCAAATTTCGATGTTGGACGAAACTTGACTGAGGTCAAAAATGTTGGCTGCCGATGTCCAACAATTCCATTGTTTTGACCACCTCAGCCAACTTTGTTGGCTCTGCGCCTGCGCAGTTGGCTAAAGAGCGCCAAAATTCAATCATCGCATCGTTGTTGTTTTCTTGGGCTGGTTTCGTTCGTATCAGCAATCGCGTTTGCTTACAATGAGTTACACTTTAATTATGGACAATATAACGAAATATAACGAATTCTGCACGAAAGAAGCGACATCAAGCATAAATGAAGAGGCTGTAGCACAGAGGAGCTACAAGAAAGCGCAAGGAGACGAATTTAGGCCACGGCCTTGATAGGGGATGCGACGCTAGTCCTGAAAGACCGCGATGGTAGAGAGGCAGCGATTGCCTTGCGGTTTTGGGATCGATATGTCGCGAAACTGTGCAGCCTTCAGCGCGACCTTCTACCCAGGCCTTCTTCGATCTGCGTGTGAAAATGTTAGGGTTGGATGAAATGTTGGATCGTTTGACCACTATCGTTGGGTTACATTCCAACATAAAAGAAAAATGTTGGGTGGTGAAATGTTGGATCGTTTGACGAAGACTTAAAAGAAAAATTAGCGGGCCAAGAATAGAGCCTTGTGGAACACCACACGATAATTCACAGACTGTGGGATCGACTGAAAGGCTAGATACCTTGATTAAATAACGTAGATATAATTCCTAAATACGAAACATTGATTGATTGTGGAGAATGAGTGATTCCAAACAAGATATGATATGAAATGGAATAAGCAATTTTATTCATATTAGAAAATATCGAGAAAACATGCAAATCATTTTTTCAGCAATGGAAAAGTACGCGCCTAAATTCACAATAACATGCGTTAAGTCGCTTTTACATGATCAGACTTTGTCCAAATTGATTATCTAACATGGGCCCGTGTTCCATTGAGAGTCTGACAGTGTTTGGCATTTTAAATAAATTACTAAGAAAATTCTAAATAAGAAAACAGGGAACAAATTTTGACCATTTCTTCAGAATTTTTAGATACTGATCCTGATCAAAGAAGCAAGTGATTTGCAAAGCTTCACCCCAGCAAGGAGAATTCGATAATCTTGAAAAGGTAGGCAATATTAGTCAAGCAATACAAACAACGGGCCTAACTAATGGTCTCGCAAAGAAATTTAAGGAGCTTTTAAATCACATGTCTTAACGTTAGCTCAACTTACGAATAACCAGCTCTCAAGAGTGGACGAGTGATTCTGTCAGGTGTCATGTATCCAAGTTTTCAGACCAGCCTCAAACTTGGAATAATATAAATGCGTCCGAAAGATTGAGATCATTGCAACGATGTCAACTGGCGTGATTTCAAAATGGATCGAATACATTAAGAGAAGAAATTCACTGGCGCGTTACACAAGAAAAAATGATTCCTGTGGGTATAGGATGCAAGTCTCAAAGGGCCTGGCGTTTTAAAATGTTATGATCGTGCATTTCACTCCCCCCGGGGGGAGAGGGGGCTTCTAATTTAACTTGATTGAGGTGTGCTGCAGAACTCTTCAAAAATAGACCCATTTTAAATGTTATCAGATTATTGCAGTCGCTTTAAATGGAACTGTGTCGAATGGAATCATTGACATAATTAAATGTTTATCAGTAGTTATTTTAATATTGAAATAACGCAGTTTACTAGCAATTGGCCTTTTTAAAGTTTAAGATTAGGATTAAGTCAGGGATGGAGTTTTCGCACTGTAAATGATTTCAGAATCACTCTTTATGATTTTTATCACGTGACATTGGCAAAATACACTTTCAAGTAGAAGTAACCTCTGTCTGAATTGGCTTCACCTACAACAAGGCTCACAACCAAACAAAGGGGAGACTGGATAAAAGAAAACTTTGACACTTTGATGTGCCAGCACACACATGAAAATTCATTCTTAAGATTTATTAATTGTACAAATTTTTCTTCGGTTGAAAATGAAAATTCACGCAGTCAAAGAGTTAAATAAACACGATGTTACTTTAGTGGTTCAACTGAATCAAATAACAATCTGTTACAATTACCTGATCTTGCTGCACACCGCCCCTAACAAATGATTTTAGCTCTCATTTAAGCAATGGGCAGGGCAAAAAATATACTGACGGCTCATGATTTTTCTCGGCTGGAGGCGATCAAATTTAGCTTTTCTTTGCACATTTATTCAAAAATACTTCATTAAACATGCTTTGAAGCGTGTGGCCTTTTTTAAAATTTTTCGAACTTCTATCATAAAGCCGGTGTCATATGCGTTTCGGTAACCTAATGCATTTCGGCCCGGGTAAACAAACGCATGATTATGAGTTATGCAAAAACGTACCCAAGCACTTAAACAATAGGGTAACAAAAAGAATAGAGGAATTTAGCATGCAAAACTGTCCGGGTGCCCAAACGCGTGACAATTTTGTTTATAGAAAAATGTACCCAAGCACTTAAAAAATAGGGAACCGAAACGAATGGTGGAATTTAGCGTGCAAACCGGTCTGGGTACAAAAATTTTCTGGTTCATATTTTTCAGAATGCAAAGAACAATCGACCTTGCTAAATTTATGCAAAAAAGTACAACATTAATGGCGACTCAAAAGTTTGCGTGATTGACAGGTGTGAAATTTTAAACTTGAAAAGCATTTTGTTCCATTTGTTACTCATAGCGTGTCAAATATCGCACTAGGATGAAATCACATGATTTGAAACACATTGCGTTTCACAAAGTTACACTTTTGCATAGGGTACCAAAACGCATATTACACCGGAAACAACACCAAGAAAAATCTCTAAGAGTGCGAGTAAAGGTAAATCGTTTGCAAATTGACTAAGGTAAAGCAAGTAAACTAATTCCAGTGATTGGACGAGGAGGGGAGTTTGTTTCATACGACAGACAACTTGTTACAGACAACTTGTAACAAGTTTAACGAACTTTGTATACTTTTCATAAGGTTTCAATAAGCCTTCAACTATATGAAAACTATAAAGAGCAATACCATAACATGACGTCATCGAGTCATTGGGATTGCAATCTCCTTTGAGGTCGATGAAGTGAAACAAAAATCTTTAACAATCAAAAATACAAATCTCACAAATTAGAAGTACTAATTAATGATTGGAAACTCTAAAGGAGGCTCCAGGAGAAAAACTTGCAATTCTTTACGTATGAAACACTGACAGTTTCTAAACAATTTTGTCAACACAAACAGATTCTTAATGAAAACGAAATATTTTTCCGTTACGATTGTTTTTCTCAAACATACGTCTATTGTAGATAACTTGATTTGCTAAATACACATTAAGGTTGAGCTTGTTAGCAAACTGGAGTTCCTTCTCTATAGATCTAGGTTTATCTATAATAAATTGGGAAATTCTTTCCTATCTACATCCTACATTCAGCGTCCATTAGTCGACTTGTCTTTAAACAGCAAGCACTGGTACTACATCAAACATTTGGAAATTTTCTTTCTTTAGGGTAATCAATTATTAAGATTGCCACCATGGAGATGTGTGAAAAACACAGGAATTCTCTGAGCGCCAAGCTGATAATCGAATTTCTAGTGCTTCCATCCAATGAACCATCAGGACGAAAGAAGGAAAGAAAACTGCTTTCGCGAAGTATCATACGAAATTAACGTAACTGAACTTCAAAAGCACTATGCTAAATTTACTAAATATTTTTCAGCTCGATGAAAAAATCAAAGTACACGAAATAAAATTACAAAATTCTGCTTCTAGAGAATAAAGACTTCTCTCAAATTGCTTGGAGCAGTAAAATTATGTTCTTGCCTTACTTTCGAGAGTGCTGATCAACCCCTGAACTTGCCGTACGATGGACTTACGAGTCAGACGCACATCCTCGTTTCCCTGTGAATCTACGCCATCCAACACTAGCAGTTGTCTCGTCAACATTTCCTCTATCAGAATGTAACTCTGGTCACCTTAAAACAGATTTAAAAATGATTAAAGAACAAGCTAACAACAAGATGCCGAGAAAAAACCTCTAAACAAAGCTAAATTTTACAAATACTGCAATAACGCTGAAAAGACTCAATGATTTCACCATCAATTCACTGTTTAAAACAAACTGCAGTTAGCTGCTGGGGGAGCCAGGGGGAGGCAGGGGGAGCCAGGGGGAGAGACAAGAGGGCAAGTGGGTTATTGCCCTTCCTGATAATCTTGATCGAGGGTTCATGTAAGTGGTCAATAAAACGTCTTGTCAGTGTAGATCAATTCGCTAAGACGTCTTCAAAGAAAAATCAAATACAAAGTAATTTGTTATGTGCAATATTTTATGGCAGGTTTAGCAAAAGGCAGCCTTGGCAACCAAGGAGGAGATGCAGCCAGTTAATTCAATGTTTCGAGTCTCACGCTATACACCAGCTTCCAGCAATATTGAGGGTATTCTCCAGGATTAATGGTTTGACTTAGCAAGAAAATTTTTGATGCATCTGACTTTTGGCGCTATGAAAAGAACGGCGGTGAAAATATTCTTATTTATTGTTTTTATTCATCAAATATTGATTGATACTAGAGATATATAGATCCTTGGAAAGTACTTTTAGTATATTAAAAAAAGCTGAAATATCGCTAGGGAAGATAGCCTCGCAAAAATAGCAACCTAGAACAAGTGAACTGAAGGAAAATTTATAGCAACGGCAAGAATTAGCGATAAAACATTGCGGTAATCTACTCTATGGATACATACTTCCCCTGTGAAGCTTCAAGCATCAACAGCAATGACTGGGGTGTCATGAGCAAAACGATGCGGGGCCCTTTGGTTTAAGGAAATAGGGACGCCTCCTGACATGTTGGCCCTTTCCCATCTGAACCGCAGCAAGAATTTGGTCTATAGTCCAATCCTTTTTGGAATTCTTTGTCAGTGTCAGTGTAAAGTGTCAACACAAAACTACAATCACAAGCATCAGAGAAAATGGCCTAAAAATGGAATATTGGGCAGAATCCGGTCCCTCAGTTTTTCCCTCAGTTTTTTAAGAACAATTCTGAACTTTACGTTAAACGTTAAAGGAATGGGGATGTGGAAATTAATTTCACGGATAACTGATAACAGCACGGAGAACTGGAGGAGATGTGGTAGAAGTGGAGAAGCTCTTCAGGCAAACATCTTAAAAAGCTAGTTCAGTCAACAAAAAGCTCATTCGGAATAAAGAAATCTTAAGAACAAAATCATTTAAATGTTGTTAAGGGTTTGTCAAGAACGTTTGGAAAAAATTAAAAATCAAATACCTCGTCGACCTCGAAATGAGAAGACCTCATCTTGGATGTTGAAAATTTCAGCAACAACTTTTTTCAACTTGTCGTACAACGGACCCTCTTTGCTGCTAATATGCTCTAAAATCGCTTCAATTCGAGGCTCAAATTTAACTGACGGTGCACGGTTGTTGGAGACAGTACTGGAGTAGCCAGGCATGATGACGATAGGCTGGCCCGTGGCCCCAGGCTGCTGCTGAATAAACCCAGTGTCATGTGACAGCTGCCGTGCCATCATATCCAGGTGTCTTGGAGGCGGAGCTCTTATATGAGTTTCGCTTGCATTAGCGGCATAAACAGGAGGCCTAGGATTACTTGGTGCAGGATACATACCAGAGTGCCACATTTGACTGTTTTGTACTGGGGAAAAACCTTCATTGCCCACTCGGTTAATCGGACCATTCGCATTTGAGACAAAACCACCTAAATGAATATTTGGTCGATTCTGAATTTGGCTTTGAGGCTGATTCCAAACACTTCTTTCAACGTTCGGGTAATGAGCTCTTTGTTCTGGGTAAGGGGGTTTGAAATTGCCTGGATGTTGGTGCCCCGACCCCGCTGTTCCATTGAAAGAGTCATTTACTTGACTGGACTGTATCCTTGGTGGCCTACCATAAATCTCAGGTTGATCCACAATGCGCCTTTCACTGCTTGCGCTTGTTTCCATAACTGGCAAAGTCTGAGCAAAAGGTCGGTTTTCGTATCCTGAGCTGTTTTGAATGTTCAGGCTATTCAGCTTGTTGACTATATCTGGGTTCCTTTGAAGAGCGTTAGGATTCGCATCACTGGCTGGATAATGTCCAGTAGAAGGTTGTCTTTGTAGTGGCGGATAAATAGGATTATTTTCGCTTGGGCTTTTAAAACGCTGCACTGTTGGACTATCTTGAAAATTATAATTGGCTTGCATAGCTGGTGTGCTGGAGCTTGGCATACGCTGGTTTACAAGGGATGTATGGTTTGGATTAAATTGTCTTAGAGGGGGCTGCACATAGAAGACGTTGGTGTCTCTTGCTGGATTAACTAAAGGTGGGCGACCTGAAGAAGTCAAGACAGATGGAGCTGATCTAAAGGATGTTACAGTTTGATACCGTGAATCATTCACATTGGTATTTGCTTGATAACTGGCTCCAGCAGGGGTAACAGGACGTAGCTGTTCTTGAAACCCTTGTTGTTGGTTGGTTGGTGGTGCTTGAAAGTGAGGAGGTGGGGTCCTTGAAAAAAGCAATGGTGAATGTCCTGTACCAACTTGGTTCATAGATTCTTCACCTTTATTGGTGCGTTGTTCTGGGTGCCGAGTAACCTGGATGTCACTAGGTACATATGGACCATTATTACTGGTAGAATACACTGGTGACCCCTGTAGACCTGTATTTAGCGTACCAGAAGAGGATAGAAAAGGGCTGTTTAGGTCATGAGGAAATGACTGTGAGGGATGACCAGTTTGACCTCGGTTAACCATTCTCAATACGTGATCTGGTAAGGGCTTGTCATTCTGCCAGCTACTCTGATGTCTAGCTGGATAGCAATTGGGTTGGTGCTGAGGAATCTGTGAAAATTCTTGAGTTTGACCAATTTGATTTTGAATGTTCTGTTGCGATAGCACTCTTGTATCAACTGTTGAAGGAATTGAATATCTTGCTGGTTCTGCTTTGGGCACAACCGCAGGATTAATACTTTGAAACACAGAATATGGCGTGTGCTGGTCTGCCCTTCTTTCGCCTATGTACTGAGAACTGAGGGTACCATATTGGTTTGGGTTAACTGCATCTTGCGGAATACTTGTTTGGGAGAATGTTCCCATAGGGGGATTCATGGCAGGATGGTTCAAGACAGGACGGTCCATGATAGGATATTCTTGTCTTTGTGTTTCCTTTGACAATGGAGAATATGGATTTCTTACATCGGCCAAATAGCTTCTCTGTTCCCTGTCCTGCAAGGGCATTCTAGTCGCTGGCTGGGAATTGAAATTCTGATACATTTGTCGCGTCTGGTTTGATTGCTGTCCTGATGACATGAATGCATCAATCTGAGGTTTCTCATTCATGTTTGTCTGCAGAACAGTCTGTGGAAGTTGGCCAAAATCTCTTAGTTGCTGTTGCTCCAAAGGTTGCTGATGACAAAACCTAGAGTACATTTGACCTGATTCTGTTCCTTGGAAGAAACTGGGATTTTGCTGAGCAGAGACATCTACAAGGTTCCTATCATTTCTATAGAAGCCAGGCTGCACATAACCACTTTGATTTTGCTGTTCAACTGAGCTCTGTTGCACATCGTTTGTGTTTCCAAAAAAATGATAACTCTCTTGACTTCTGACTTGGGTGGCTGATGCTGGCCATTGAAAAAACTGATTCATATCACTTCAACAAATTGACATGCACATCTGCCTTGCATCTTTATCCTTAAAAAATGGACAATCAATTATTATTAGCACATGCTTACAAATATCTCTTGATTATATCGTACAATGTTAATAATGCATATGAAACATTAAGGAAAGAATGAGAATATGTTTCAAAAGAGGTTAATACAAGCAACCACAAAAGCAAGCAAGCAAACAAGCAAGCGAGCATTGATATTTTTAAAGCTGGTTTGGGGATTAAAGCAGCTCACAGCTGATGGGGACCAGCAAAAATTTTGCAGAATTACAATGTACAAATTAACCAATTAATAAAATTTACAACAATCAGCTGGCAAATCACCAAAGGGTAATATTGTAGGATTGTGATCATTTCATTTTACCCAGTCTTAGCCCCAAACATGCCATAGTTTGGTCAGTGACCCTAGTCTTTTCAAAACATATTTAAAAATTTTAGTTATAAACAGATTTATATTTTCATCACAAATCAGTGCACAAACTGGATTTTTATTACTTTTCTGAACCATTAAGTTTAATTTATGCAAAGGCTTAAATTTGCAACAAGATATCAAATTAACAGTTGGTTCAATTTTCCTCCTGTCTATATCCTAGAGATTGGCTATTCAGCAAAGGAGAGTACAAAATCCTAAAGAACCCTCAAACCAATAAGCAGCATATTGCATCGTACACTCCATTGTTGAACTCCTAAAAATATGCAGCGTGCTACCAAGATTTTGAGCACAATATATTACCAGCATGTTAAATCCTTATTCATAAGCATAGCCTTGGATTGACTCAAAATGTTTGGAGTGCTCAGACAGAGCTAATATTTCATGAATTTGTCATGTCTTTTTACAAAGGTTAGATTTTTGGGAAAAGAGGAAAATCTAAAGAAATCAGTTTACCCTAAAATCTATCATAAATTACATCATCAGGTAAGTAAGACTTCCAATTTAGAATTGTTCACTTCCTGAAAACATGTTTAGTCTCAGAAAACAAATGGGATTTTGCATCTTGGATATTGCATATAAAACGCAGGAAAAAATTACAGCGGGTCAAAAGAAGAAAAAAAACAGTTCATAATAGGGAATGCAGAACTTTGTTAGCATTAGCTAAAAGTATAATGGATAGCATGTGTTGAAGATATGCCACGAAGCAACACTGAAATGTTGCACATGTTTGAATATCTCAAATTGATAAATTCATAAGCAAGTTGCCAACTAGTATTTATTGGAATAGGAAGGCATATATCAAAGCTATACAAAGAAAAATTAAGTTTGTAAGGAAAACGTTTTAAGCACAGGATTGTGGTCTTTTCAATGTATAAGATAGGCAATGCTGTTTATAATTTGTTGGCATTTGGTAAAGATTATAAAATTTACCAATATCATTTTTGAGAAATCGGTCCAATTGGAATTTTCTAATGTGATTTTTTCTAGTATGGAAATAATTGAACATTAGATAATTACTGGGTGCTTGAAACAGGTACCAAGGTCAAATTTTGGTTAGTATGTATGGGTGGTTAAAAGTTTCTCTACAGTATTCAAGTCTGGAAATGCCTTTCTACTCTATGAAACAAAAGATTGTTTGAAAAAAGGCCTGATTATTAATTGGCCTAGCTACTGGTTGATACAATTTTCTGAAAAAATGAATGAAAAAATGACCTCAAGCTCATTTGTTCTTTAATATTCCTTAAAAATTAGCCTGGTTTGCCTTGTTTGAAGAAAAGCCATTGTACTTGTTTAAGCGTTATATAGCCTATTTGAAGCTTGAGCATGATTTCTAAGCAATAAGACAGCCTTTTGTATACATCTTTCCTAGGCATAGGATGCAGAAGGCAGCATTTATGTTGCAACTTCTTTCAAAGCGCCTGATACAAATATGAAATATTTATTTTTTTGAAATTAGCCAGACTTCAACTGGAAATATCTCAATAATGGGCATTCTGATTGAAACAGTAACAGGGTGTCATTTACAACTTAATCTAAAACCACAAATAAGAAAACTTTGTTGTAATTAAGAAAAGTTTCAAAGGTAGTAATTCATGATAAAATAAGAAGACAGTGTAACCAAACATATAGCTTCAATAATTTTTGTGTCTCAGTACTATGGGTTGCCCTGGGAGGTGACGAAAAGAATATTATGTCATAATGATTTGTAAACAGGATTTTACCAAACACAGACACAGATCCAGACAGGAGCAAAGGGGGCAAGTGCTCCGGTCAGAATTATAGCACATGTCTATTCTTCATTTTTGAAAAAATGATCATTAATAATATAAGAATGAAAGTTTCTGAAGTACTGCAAATTTGTTGTCACCTAATTCACTTGCATATTAATATTCTGTTTATGGATATTGTTTATGTCTTTGACTTTCCAGCTGATGTATATTGTTCATTTGTATTTGCCAATGCTCCAGTTTTTTATGGTTTATTCTGCAGACTATTGTTTTGTGTTACACTAGAATAATACATACTACGCTGCTCTATTCGTCTGTATTTTATCAAGCAAAGTTCCTTCTCTGGCCAATCAGAAAACACATGTGCGCTTCAGTTACAAGAACTTTCTTCCAGTTAGAGGTAAATTGGCAATCAGTGGCCATACTGAGGGTAACAAAACTTATGGCAGCAGTTCAAAAATCTAAAAATTCAACTTTTGGGGTGTTGATCACTTCTTTTTGACAATGTTTAGTTTCTGGTGCACAGGGTGAATAGATATCTCCACATGGCAAAAAGCTGTCATGGCACGTAATTAGAGAAATATTCCTCAACTGTGAGGGAAGAAATGGGTAGAAAAAGAATAAGAGACTATTAGAAATAAAATAGGAACTGATAACAGAGTGCACCCAGAGTTGTCACTTGCAATGCGGACATAGACATAATCTGTCTGAAAATTTCATGGAGGGAACCTCATAGACAGAAAATGGAGTATTAGCCAATCAGATAGGAGTTTTTCATTTTGAAGAAATAGCACATGGTAGGATTCCAAATTTGCTCAAGGATAACTGTAGTAAATGCAGTGGGGTATAATGCTGAAAACTAATTAGGCCTGATTACAAGCAAATAGAATACAATTAGGCAACAATAAACGGTTGTATGGTACATCATTCTCATAAATTCAACAGTTCAAAGAAGCACATTGTATGTAAACAATGCTGTGCACAAGACAATGCATGAATGTTAACAGATTATGCTAGAGCACAGATACCAGCTAGAAGACTTTGAAAAACTCCAGAAAGCTTATGGAGCCAAGTCCCCTAATAGCAATAGTGCACGCATGTTTAAAAAGGTTAAAAAACAATTGTATTTAGAAAAAATGTTGATTAAATGAAAAGATAAGTGCAGGATGTTAGCATATTCAAAAAGTACAATCTTTGCTGATCTCAAGGGCATGGCCACACAAATTTTCCCCGAAACCCCCTTTCTTTGTTCCTGTCAGATTTGTTTCTGGATCCGCACCTGCCAAACACTAGCTGTACACGATGGTTGCCTAAATCACATGCTACTAGCATGAAAGAAAGCAGATGACCCCCTACAGAAGAGCCCAAACTACCACGATTAATCACCTATAAACAATTCATTATGCACTTTACTTGAAACTAAATATAGATTCATGACAGTTTTTGGTCAACTTTGGCTTTTTGATGGACATTTATTTTTCATTTAGCCCAAGAAAAACAAACTAATTGTTGAATGGTGAGTTGAATCTAAATAGAATTTTGTTTTATGAGAGACATCAGGGCATTCAAGGGCATTCGTTTCAAATGAGCCTCCAGGCCCCAACTACCTTTCTACACACTGATTTGGTTTGCTGCCCTGCTCAATAAATGACACAAAAAGTTTCCAAAAAACTGAATTAAATACTTTTGTTCTACAAATGTCTTCAGCAAATATGCATATCATTAGAAGAGGCATTCGACAATTTTTAAAAGCAACTAGCATAAGATGGACAATAAAAGAAATGAAAACTGTTTAAAGGCAATGGTCTGGCACCAACAAATAATAAGAAATGACCAAATTATTTACGGATGTAACTTGTTATTGAAACCCAAAGATTTTCAAGTTGCGAATGGCTTGAATTGTCCCAAAGAAGTGTGTTTACAATCTGAGATAAGGGAATAATTGCTGACGCCTATATGCTGACAAAGTTTATTTAAGTACAATAAACACGACGATACTTCACAAGAAACCCCCTCTCATCAAGGAATATGGCTGACCAATCTGTCGTTCTGCACTAAAGAAACTTTTTAAAACAGCGGAAGACATACATCCCAACTGAATAATTGCCTTGGAAATATTCATACTCAGATGGAATACTATTTACTTGGAAATTAGAGCCTAGATCTTACTAGGCCTTACGGCAAATGTTGCCCTTGTATTCATTAAGAATTTACTTGTGAACAGACATGGAATCACCCAGTTAGCATTAAACTGTTTTCGCTGGAAGACCAAGTCTAATCTATTGCAAATCAGGTTACAATATGAACACTGCAATTCAAGATTGTACTACAGAAACGAAATGATCCATGACGGACAAACAACTACCAACCTTGATAATGCCTAGGCCTTCAGAGGTTTCACAATCGAGATAATTCAACACTGTTGAGCAACTTAAAATCTTTCGGATATTGTCGAGCGTTGATTCAGCTAACAAAATTTTTACGAGAAATCCCCAGGTTTGTCAGAAGGCCGTCTTCTTTATAGAACCAGCTAAATTTTAAATCTTAATTCGAAAGGTGTCGCTTTACTTTATACATTCATCTAGCCAGCGGCGACTACTGTTGTCATTCTAACTCCTATAAACCAATGCACATCTTAACGCGCACAGCCACTCTGATGACGGGGGTATATCCTACAAAGATGTCATGTATATTCCTCAACATGATGGCGATATAATTTCACTCTTTTTCAATTTATGGAGCACTTTTAGAGGATATCTGATTATGTTTAAACCAAAATTAAATTCAGAAGTTTCATACCACTCAGGTATTAGCACTTAAAGATCTCAAAAAATTTACTGACCCTTATTCTGAAAATTTTTACTTCAAGGAATAATTGAGAAAGGAGACGTTGTCTTTTCACTCATTGAGAAAGATTCGAAGCATCTATTTTATCCAAGCACACCTCTTTGTAGTTTTTAAAGTGAAAAGTTTTTCTTTTAGGGTGATAAACAAAAGCAGTAATAAAGGGCAATTTAATACATTAAAATTGACGTAACCCCCTGAATTTTCATCTTAAGACGTTGAATCAAACACTCAACTGTTGTGTGGGCAAGATGGAAGAAAGTATGTTCTGTTATAGCTTTAAATTCACATAGACATAAGAAATTTCAATTTGTGTGTGTAAAATTTAAGGCTTCAGGTTTCTTCGTGTTGCGTGGGAAACGACCTTCGGCTCTCCTGGCTTTTGTGCTGATTGGCGAGTGAAGTAAGGCTGATCGATAAATTTGACATCAACTTGCGCTCAATATGTCGGAAGATGGGAGAGTACTTTGTCAACAATGTAACGATGCCTTTGCTCCTGACGATGTCAAACAGATCTACGGAGAAGACTTAGAAATTTGTGGCTTTATTTGCAATCCTTGTTGTATCAAGAGTGTGGAATATGCACGTCGCTGCCAGATTGTTGACTGCAAAACGCGGCCCGACTCTGGGCCAACTGGCTTTCGCACGCTTCCTTCGAAATTTTATGACCTTCCCGAAGGTGAAGTCAAAAAGCGAATTATTAAACAGTTTGGCATTATTAGAACAGTAAGGGCTTGTTGTAATATGTGCTATGTGCGAATCTCAAAGGCCATTGTTCAAATGAAAATTGTATACGGGGATGGACTACCACGACAGAGCAAAATTTCTGCAAGCAGAACAGGTAAATACAAAGCATTCTCTTCGACGCATAATGTTGTTGAAACGACAAAGACACCACAAGCCAAGGAAGATCGCCTCGCGGAGTACACAGGACCAAAGTTTACTAGGCGATCAGGCGGCGCCCCTTGTTGGAATAAAAACAACCAAAAAACTGAAGAAAATATCGTCCCGACAAATTTCACCCAGAATTCTGAGCAAATTTTGCAAAAGAAGACAGAGAAGGACGCGGAATTGTCGGTTGATAACAAACAATTAGGTGATAATACTTTACCGAACGAGGGCGAAGGGCAAAATTCTAATCAAGAGGTTTTGGATAGCAAGGGAGGTGATGATAAACAAAAGGGATTAAAAGTTTCATCTGGACACTCAACTTCTCAGATTGAAATTAATGAAGTCGCCGGAGCTGCTGCTAAATTTGATATCAGTAAAAACGAAAAGGGTGACAAAAATGAAGGAATTACTTATTCGAGTACACCGATTTCACCAACATCAATGCGTTTTAGGAGAATTCAACCAAAACTTCCAAAGTTTGAGGAGTTTGACCTGTCTGATGATTTGCTGGAACTTGCGGATTTTTCACCTCCCGGAACACGGAATGGCCGCAAAAGGTCGCGTGGAGCCGAGGAAGACGAGACTTGGAGCCCAGAAAAAGCGAAAAGAGAGAGGATGGAGGGCAAGGCTGTGGCCCAGAAGCGACCAGTTAATACCAATGTTATGTCAGATTTTGTATCTTGCACTGGGTGTCGTAAAATTTGTAGCAGTAAAGAGACAAAGCCTGTTTTTGATGAGAAGAAAGGACTTAACATTCGACTTTGCAGTGAGTGTAGAAGCAAAAGGAAGGAAGAAATTGCTGTGTGTCCAATGAAAGGCTGCCTAACACCAAAGGAGGATGTTATTCTCAAACCTTTGCCATCAACTTTGTTTAATCAAAAGGGGAACACCAAAAAACAGCTTCAAGCTCTAGGTTTCAATGAAGAAATGACAAGCTGCTGTGAAAAATGTTCACAGGTTATGATGAGCATTGTCAGTATGGGAGATAAAGATAGAGAAAATGGGGATTCAAATGGGGAGGAACAAGTGTTCACAATGTGCAGAAGCTGTTGCAAAATCATTCCAATGAAAGATACATTCCCAAATATTGAAGATGATGGGCGGAAGTGTGGTGTAGTCTGCCCTTTATGTATTGGAAAGGACAAAAAGGACTTGATTCCTCATCAAGAAGCAGATGTGAAAAAGGAGACAAAAATCCAGAAAAAAACAAAAATATATGAATCATCAATGAAAACTCTAGGATTTTGTACTGCTAAAGGATGTGTGCATGCTGGGGAGAAAGATCCTGTGCAGCTTGTCTGTGGAAAGAAAATATTAAGGAATTATTTAGATGAAAAGATGCTGAGGGCAGAATTTGATCTTGATGATGACACTGATTATTGCTGCCGGAGTTGCCATGCCAGAATCAAATGGTTTGTAGCAGATATAAAGAAAAAGGAACATGGTCCTGGGGCAGATGGGAAAGCTGTGAATTCTTTGAAGAATTTAAATCCAAGAATAAAAGCAGAAAATATGAAGCAAGAAGATGGAAAACACAGCCAAGAAAAGAAATCGCAAGATATTAAAGAAGAAATTTCAAAGCCAAGGTTTATTGCAAATGATGATGGATCATATTCTCAAGCTGAAATAGCAAATTGTGCTCTGGCAGTACATTCACCATCAGGATTAGGACAAGAAATGATTGAAAACAAAGCAGACATCTTAGTTCCACATCTGAAGGATTTTCAAACCAAAGTCCAATCATTTTGCAAACATCGTCAGCAGTATCAACAAAACCTGCCATTTTCATGCCTCCAATGAGCACATCATTAAATAACCTTGCAGGACATCCTCCTGTTCTGCAGGTTGGGCGACAACAGTTTGTTCTCAATGTGATAAGCAGATGTGAAAAAGAAACACAGACACAAAAACAGTTTGAAGGACAATCAGATGATACAAGAACTTGCTATATTGAGAAAGGAGTTCAAGCCAACATACCATTAATGCCAGAGTTTGAAGGAACAGTGCCTGCAAATCTACCAAATGGTAAAAAAGTGAAATATGCTGATGCTAAGGAGAAAACCAAATATGCAGTAAAAAGGGCTGGGAAGAAATTGTTTGACCAGTTTCTTCAGCAACTTGATGATATAAGTGGTGGATGTGCCCATCAACTCTTGTCTGACATATATAGACCAAAGGTATGTTTTTCTTTTTCTTGCTAATATTAGTTTCTTTCCTTTATCAGTTTCAAGTTTTAGATCATTATGATTGCAGAAAATCTTTGGCAATATATAAAGGGTTCTTTTTCAGGGCCTGGGCCACTGATTCTAAACTGGAGGGGCCACCAAATATGAAAAAAAGTTTTCTCTTACCCCTCTAGACATAAATGTGGCAAAATTTTGCTGATGCTGTTTTACTTATATACTTTGGTTCAATGTATTTGTTGCAGTCTAAAGGATTATCTTTACGAATAAGTGGATTTTATTCTTTCATTCAGTGAAATGGTGGGGGGGGGGGGACATGGCCTTCTCTGTGTGAGTCCTTTTCTTGTCTGAACAAATGTTCCTTCACATAAAGAAAAATTTTCAATTGCAAGATTTTTTATTCACAGTTGTTACAGCCCTCCCTCAATCACCCATTCATTTTGTGAAAAATTTCTGAAACTTTCCTACTCTGGTAGAATATATAGGAAAATGTTGTCTCTAGCCCCTCCCTAAACACTAACTCCCATTGTGCCCCTGTCAACACGGTTTGCAAAACAGAAAAATACCTTTTTTGAGTCCTTCTTCTTAAGAATTATATCACATTTTTTTGTAGTGTGTTGTTTTCTTTATTTTAATAATGTTTACTGTAGTAGAATTTTGATATTCAATCAAACACGAGAAAAGCCTTGCTGGAGGGTGCATGGCAGTGATGCCTTACGAGATAGTGTACAAAATTTTAATCAAATTTTTATTTAATTTTATTTATATTTAGTCATATTTATTATACAATTTAAGATACATTTCTATAGAGGATTCGGAAATTGATGTTTGGTTGAGCTGTAACCAGAATATATCTTATATGCTTACAAAAACATATCAAAAAACTAATTATATGAATTATAGAGGCAGAAGTTAAATAATTGATTTGACTTCTCTTTAAGTGAACTAAATTGAAAGCTTGTAAAAACTGTTCATTTGCTTTCAACCTCAGCTGTGAGTCAGTTTTGTAAAGGTTCATTTTGAAAATTTATTAAATTGGAATCTTGGAAACCTTTATTTATTTGAGAAAAGACACAGAATCAGTTTTGAATAAGCTCAATGTGCTCAGTTACAAAGCCTCCCACTGTTAGTAAATGTATATATTTGTTTGACTGGATCCTTTGCAGCAGGGGCGGACACTTGATCAAATATTGGGGGGGCAAGCCTATTGTTTTAATAAGATGACGTCACATTTTCCATTGTTTTAGAACAAAATACCATTGTCCTCTAAAGTATTGGGGGGGGGGGGCGGTCGCCACTGCTTTGCAGATGTAGAAGGCTTTATTGAATAACTTTTAGACTGCAATTCCAGTTATTTGATTTAACATCTGCTGTTTGTACAGGGAGCTGGGAAATTTTCAGTTCCATGTTAACACCAATTGCAGTCCCTGCCAATTGCTGTCCCCACCAGTTTAGCCCCCATAGCAAGGGCAGCATCACGGGGTGGACCAAGGCGGACATTTTAAGACCAACTTTCTTATTTTTCTAAAACCTGATTAAAAACATAAGGGGGATGTTAGTGTTTTCAATTTGATGGTCAGTTATGGTTCTTTTCAGATCTTAGCTGACATAGAGTATGGTGTGTTCGATCATCAGCTCATCAGTCCTGTGAATAGTGAGAAACTAAATAAAAGATGATCTAAAAAAAGCTTTATCGTGCTAAACAGTTGCTTCTAAGAGTGTGGTCTTTACCTTCCTTCCTTGTTAAACGCAACTTTGGATAGTTTACTCTTATGTAGTAGCAGTTCTTCTTGACTGGGAACCTTTTTTGTTCATTTCTATGTGCTTTATTTTGTTTAATGATATGATATATTTTCTAATTTTGGTTCGCTTGGTGTTTTATTATCCTTTTTAAAGTTATTGATATCTTCTCTGAACCAGACTGTTTTTAAGAATTCAGTAGAAATAAGCAAGTATTTTCTAAATGGGGCGTTTTCCGGTGTTCTAATGGGCGTGGCTTCAGAAAAGTTCAGACACACCCATTGCAGCTCCTCCACTCTTAGACTGGTGCGCGGTCCCTGCAAAGGTAGCCTCGTTAATAGGTTTAAAACAAATAGCTTTTATGTTTTTAGCCTTTATGTGTGTAATCCTTTGCCTATGAAATTTAACTCTTCTATTGAGGGTTTCAAAATATGTCAAACTTGGTTATCAATAACGAGCGCGACTTCTCGTACGGTGTTGCACCGGTTTCTCGCCCAGACCCCTTTATCAGCTTCATCCCTTCATTGTCCACTCAACTATTTTGGGGCTGGCGCCGCCCCTGCTCCAGAGGACTGTGTAAGCAGATTTTGATAAGTCATTTAATTGCAATTATTCCTAAGGTATCATACAGTGCCGTCGGAACTAAATTCATATTGGGGGGGGGGGGGACGCCCATTGTATTCCGTCTTATTCAGTACACAGTTATAAAGGAAATATACTACAGTTTGACAATTATTGGGGGGGGGGGCTCCAGCCGTCGCTGAATGTGTTATCAATCATTGACTACAGTGATGTATCTTTCTGTTGTATCTCGATTCAGCTGGAATGGGCGCTTATTAAAATTCTTCAAATGTGGGGCTTACTCGAGGCTTATACGAGGGGCGCTTATACGAGGTGGCTTATACGAGAGGGCTTATACGAGTAGGGCTTATACGAGTAGGGCTTATACGAGTAGGGCTTATACGAGTAGGGCTTATTCGGGGAAGGGCAGTTCGAGGATTCACGGTAAATATGATCAAATTCTGGAAATCTCCAATTCACCAAACGAGAAGGTGAAACTGAAAAGATAAAAAGGAGCATTGGCTAAAAATAACCATTAAAATGGCGTGAATGCTTTTCAGTGTTCTGGTGGCTGTTGAATCATCTTGCACTTTACCATGATTTCGTAGGTTAGAAGTGATGCTTAGTTAGGTGGTTGACCTTGAGTTGGCAGAACAGGGTGTCAAGGGAGTGGCAGAACAGGGTGTCAAGGGAGACTGCCAATCTCTGCTTGCACACTTGTTAACGTAAAATACTCAACCAGTGGCAATTTTGACTATTGATTTTCTATTGATACAAGGTTTGTTTGGGCAACTTAGGCACTTGAGCGTTTTTCCCCGCAGAAACCTCTGTAAAGAACTCTTTTCAGTAACCACACACCCTAAAAGGCCTATGAAACGTGTATTTGCTTCAAGTGTGCAATTACTGCGAAGGTTCCCAATTGTAAGCATTTGTTCCGACTCCAGTGATTGATGGTGATAAAAAATAATAGCAGATTCCTTTTCAGGAGGTCTGATTACATCGTGTTCTGAAATAAAAATTTTGGGCTGGAGTGGCCCTTTAACTGACCACCAAGCGATTTATCCATTTCTACATTTCTACATTTGTATATCTGTTATAAAAAGAAATACTCTACTGATTTCAGTTGAAAAACTTTCTAACATGATAAAAATACTTGGTTGAGCGAGACTGGTTTGAAATAGCGTTTGTTGAGGTCGCAATTTTCTTTCGTTTTTGTTTTGTTTGAAAACCAATTCTTTTCTTGCTTTGCGACTATAATTCAAAGAGCCGGCCTAATATCGTACTGCAAAAAGATACAAAACACAATCAATTTCTCAAAAAAACTGCCGCTAAGCATGCCGGTTGCGCAAGAGCCTTTTTCGAAATATATTTTGCCGCTGCTCCATGTTGGTTATGGGCTGTTGAGCAAGATTGGCGTGGCTGACAGGGGTCACGAGCCATGATGCACTGAGGCACCCTGCTCCCTCCCCCTATAAATTCAGGAAAAAACATTTTCTACTTGTAGCTATGGTTGTTTCAGAATTTTTTGCCAAAGTCCCCTTGTTCTAATCACAGCTTCAACACCCTGTTGGCAGGTTATAACCTTTCAACATAATTTTGTCTAAAAATTGTAGATATTTAATTGTCTATTATTTTGGTTTTGTTTAGGACTCTATCATGGCAACGAACTACGAGAAGATTCTGGCCAGCATCGGCACCCTGTATAAAAACGTTGAAAGAGGCAACCGGCAAGAGAGGCTGCGCCTGCTCAGCACCGTTGCGTTGCATGCAACAAACGAGGCTCTGAAGCGTTATTTTCAAAGAATGTCGAAGAAGGGTGATATTGTGAGTGTGAACGAGGCGGAAATTGTGCAGGCTAGAGAGTATGCTAAGCAGTTCGGACCAGGGACTCACGTGATGCCGGTGGGGCAAGGTAAGTCATGTACAGTTTTCAGGTTACGTATTTTACTTGGCAAAACAAAGTCACTTTATAGATTAATAGAGACTGATACTAGACTCAATTAAGCAAGCTGAGTAATTGACACAAAGTAGCCACGAGTTCACCGAGCTGGTCCGGTAGCCGACTAGATCGCCCCTTTGAACTCGATAAAGTTGTTAAGAGGGATTAATATAGGAAAGGGGGTGCATAAAGAGAGACTCAGAAGGCAGCAAGGGGATTGTTGATGTTTGAGTATTCCAATGTGATCAAATAGGAACTATGGATGTTGCTCCTAGATGGATGTGCATATGACAGAATGAATGAATTAGTGAGAGAGTACATTAATGAATAGATTAATTGACGGATGAATGAGTTAATAAAAGAATGAATGAATAAATGGGGACTGGATTAATGAACGAATGAATGCGAAAAGAAGAGTTGCTGAAGTATTCAAGCATAAAATAGGTTTTGAACATTGAAAAGACAAATGGATGTTCAAACTGATGTTAAATCGAATGCCAAGTTAATCCTTTTTCCTGGTTTGATTTTAGTTTCGTGGAAGAATCTGGTTACAAGTGGAATGATGGAATCAGCAGAAGATGAAGATGCAAACGAAGCGGATACAGAAAAAGGAGACGAAAAGGACAACGCGGTAAGAGCCTCAAAAGGGGACCAGGTTGACACAAAGATCATCAGTGAAGGCGAGAAATTGAATGTTGAGGATGACAAGGGACAGCTTGATGGAAGTTCCGAGAATTCAGGTTCCCCAAGTGGAGGGCTAAGTCCTGACACACAGGCTATGGGGAAAGACAAAGAAAAAAAATTGATTACTTTCGAGAAAATGAATCCATCAGAGCAAGGATCTGCAGAAAAGAAACAAAAACAGTTGGTTACTTTCAAAGTTACTGTGCGGCATTCAAAGGATAAAACAGGTGATGGGACGGAGCAAAAGGGGGTCGTTAACGATGACACGGCTGAAAATGAAATGAAAGCGAATTCAGGCAACGCAGATAAAGGTGAAGAAAAAAATGTCAACACGGAAAAATTGGCAGGGAGAAGGAATGGGAAGCCGTGCCACGATTCTGGCAAAGAGGATAGTAAAAGCCAAGTGAAGAAACGAAGACGAAATACTTTTAGTGCTGGAACAACGGAAAAATCGAAAAGGAAAAGTGATGTCACGAAGTCAGATGACAAGGACGGGGATATGCGGGAAAAGCGCAGAAGAACCGCTTTTAGTAATGAAAGGAAAATGGTGTTAGAGAAATACTTCGAAAAAAGTATTTATGCTTCGAAGCTTATGGTGGAAGAAATCTCAAGAGAACTGAGTATAGACAGGAAAAAAATTGATAACTGGTTCAGAAATCGAAGAAGTAAATTGAAAAAGGACGAAGAGGAAAGGTCGAGACGAGATGTCGAAATGAAGGAAAGAAAAGGATGGAATAAGGAAAACAGTAAAAGTAGCTCAGTTGACGCAAAGGAACCGGACATCCGCAACATATCGCAGTCCAGTAATGGCAATCCGGAAGAGGGCCAGGGAAATGGCAGTCCGGAAGTGGACCGAGTTAATTGCAATCCGGAAGTGGACCGGGGTAATGGCAATCCTGAAGTGGACGAGAAAAAAGAAAATGCACAGACAAAAGGCAGCGATGCAGAACCGGTTGTTGCTGGAAAGGAGGACAATGTTTCCGCTACAAAGATTGAAGAGGGTGAACAACGGACGTCGGCAAATAATGTGGAGGCAGAGGGCATTGAGCCGTCAACTGAAAATCCTGTTACTAAACAAATTGAACATGTCAGCACTGATGTCAAGAGGCCGCGTGATTCTCAAACGCTTCATCAAACGGCAGCGTGTCAAAATTCGCAAGAAGCATATGAAGTTAAAGAAAAACCAGACCAGGGACAACGCGCCGTTAATAAAAAATCCGGTTCAATTTCCAACGAGTTTTTTTTGTCTCCTGATCAGAATGCAACGTGTACAGTTTCTAAAATAACTTCGGACTCATCACATGATCTAGAAAAAAATTTATTAAACAAAGATAGATCACAGCTGAAAAATGACTTACGAACTAAATCGAAAACAGCCTCGGCAAGTGACAAAATCAGTGATTTGTCAAGTGAAAGTAACTGCGCAATTATAAATAAAGAAAATGAACAGACTTCAGCCAATGCTACGAGCAATGACAGAATGTCGCTATTGGCTCCTCCAGTCTTATCAGGTTTGGCTTCACCAGTCGTATCGGACTTGACTTCACCAGTCGTATCGGACTTGACTTCACCAGTCGTATCGGACTTGACTTCACCAGTCATATCGGGCTTGACTTCACCAGTCGTATCGGTATTGGCTTCACCAGTCGTATCGGACTTGGCTTCACCAGATCCTAACGCAATCGTTTTGGCTCCGTCGGTTATATCGCAGTCCCGCAGTGGCGAGACTTTTTTAAGCAAACCAGAATGTTACCTAGAAAGCCGTGTTGTTCCCGAGACATCTTGGTCCTCTGTGATTGACGAGTACGATGTGGAGGTGAATGGCGATGAATCTGATGCACCGGAAGATCTTGCTCTTGCTTTGAACAACGATCCGGATTTCATGAAGGACTTGAATGAGCTGATGGACATCGCCAAGGCCTGAAGCAGAAGTACGATCATCGTATTGATTAGTCAATGTTTTTAAGTTACGTCGCTGTTGCTAGGTTTGTAGATTTTCACGAGGTATAGATTTGTACATTCTAAAAGCGAATTATCGATTATTCCAGTCATAACAAGGCCATCTCCCTTTCTGCTTCTTACCTGGAGTTTGGACGTCCTCCTTCCTCATTATTCATAAAGGCTGTTTCGTTCTTTTTATAAATCGTGTATTTAATTTTGATGAAAATACGCAATTAAGTTTGATTTAGTGTCTTATTCAGATTAAGTTGTAAATTTATTGGCATTTTTATTCAGTTTTGCATAACCTTTAGCATGTCGGTCTCCAAACCCGAACAACTTATTCTCCGCGGTGTGCCCAGAGGTGGAAATAGGCACAAATTTAGTGGAATTTTCCATGTAATAAATTTCATATCAAATCTACTTCAATTTTTTATAAAGAAGCAAATTGAATCTCTAGCCCACACATAACTTAATATGTCTTTGTGAAGTGGTGGTGGAAACTGTTGACAAATTTATTTCATAACATCTCGACATATTTTTATCAGTTTATACTAGTCTTTTTAGTTGAAGGTAGTTGCAGGAAATTTATGACAAATCTTCGTGGCTTAATACGTAAATTTAAGAGAAATTTTCATTTAGATTTCGGTGAACTTCTGGCAAATTTTACCAAAATTTGACCACCGTCTGACTGTTTTCCCGCTACGACGAAAGCCACATTTGTACGAAGTCCTATTTATTAAAATCACTTAGACATTAAAATTTTTCTTACCGTAATTTCAAGTTTATTATTTATGGATGTTGTGGATGTTTCTTCAGTCTTGAACAATAATAACAATTAAGGACTAAATGTAAAAAACTACTTCTCCTCATCCATTCGCCATGCACCTTCCCCCCATTCTAAATCCTATTTTAACACCCTTTCCCTCACCCATGACCCCCATACCTTATCCATTTTTACCAAAATTCTCCCCAACATGACCATGATCCGATAAAAACGCTTTTCATCGTTTTTTTCTTTGTAGTCTTGCGTTATCTGTAGATTGCGGCCATTTTTTATTCAATCTGAGAAAGATAAACTTGCCACAAGTTTGAATTCTTTTCACTTTTTAATGAAAAATGTTTAACAGGTAGCTTTAACATTTATTTCTGAAAATGTGAGTCAACTCAAGTCAAGCGTGAACCAAATAGCTACCCTTTTCCATATCCTTTTCTCACTGAGATGGGAATGACTGCGTGCACGTGTGGGAATGACGTTTGGAATGGATCTTAACTTCAGCTGCACCAGCAGTGTTTAATGTTTTCAGATATTTTATCAAGATTCAAACCGTCCCTACACTGAAAACAAAGGAAGTACGTGTTCACAGAAGGCCTTGTTCTGTTGTAATACAAAATTGCCTACACTGTGCTCAAAGGGGCATCAAGCTAAAATTCGAATCACAGACAAATAAAAAAAATCTTGTGTTGATGTATCTCGTACTCAAATGGGCCAATATAGAGGCGGGGAAGCTGACGTTCCCTTTGATCCAATCAGTGACACATTTATCACATCATCGTTGTTTTTTGGTGATTCCGCAATTGTTTTTGAAACGAACAGAAGTTCCGAGACAACAAACAATCGAGTCTGAGGGCATGAAATGGAGAAAAGCGAGAATAATTAGCTACTCATGGATGATGATGTTGTAAGCGAAAGCGTTAAAAAAGTTCATTTAAGTAAAACAAGTAAATCAATACATTTAAGCAACGATATATGGAAGCACTAATACGTGAGTTTGTTTTAGGGCAATTCATAAAAAATAGGGAATCGTTTGCTAAAAGTTTGCATTCAACTCGCTGCTAAAGGGGGGCGGTAGGGAAGACACCTTTAACCAAGCAAACAAATTCAAGCAACTGTCGGAATAAAATACCAGTCTTTTGGGAGACCTCAGGGCCAACCAGATGTTTTGTTCGTTTATAAAAGTTAATAGGCCTAGTTGGACTGTTCGTCTGATTTGTTTAAGATTTTGAACTTTCGTAGGTTGATTTTTGAAATTTTTAATGGTTTTCAAACGATAATGGAGAACTTCAAAATCAAAATTGCGCTTTGCTTCGAAAGTTTTTTGAAGCAGATCCTCGACAAATGATTTCCATTATACTCCAAGAAATCTCCCTGCCTGAATTCGACTTTTGGTATTAATTTGCAAACTTGCGGCTCTTCAGACCTTTTACTTGAAACTAAAATTTAAATGCTGAATACAGACATAATCTACTTGACAAATTGCATTAGTTCCCCTCGGCAATACGAATTTACAAGGAAGACGCGATGCTATCTTTTGAAAAACCACACAAACACGGGCACTCAGGAAGCGAAGACAGGGGCACTGCTGCTTACATACTTAGGATTTCAAAAATAAATACTTTATTTAAGCCATTAATCATTGATAAAGTTAAGCTGCGAGTCAAACTGAGGTGGTACCTGGGAACGCCAACACTTTCTCTTCAGATAAAGAGCAGCGACCAGCCTAAAAATAAAAACACCACCTTACTTTACGATATGCTCAACAAAAAACTTTTAGAGGAGGAGAAAACCATGAAAATGCTATTTGCAGTCTCGTGTAATGTTTCAGGAGAACTTCAGGTTTCTACATTCATTAGGCTAAAAAAGGCCAATGATAAATACATGCAAAAAATTGAGGAATACAGATAGGAATATAGATCTATAGAAAAAAATAAAAGAAGCAGAAACTTGATTTTCTTAAAGAAAAATAAATATGTTCTTTGAATTGGATCCATGAATTAAAATCCTTTTAAGCAAATTGTTCAGCAGCTTATACAGTGCGGCGGCTCACATTTCAGGGTTGAGAAATGTCTTTTTCAGAAAATTGAGAAAATGTCATCTTCATCTCAAGCTAAAGTTTCGCCAAAATACTCGAAATTAATGATCCAAAAAAGCTAGTGAATATGACGATAAAATTGTGATGGTTATGGTGATAAACAATATTTTCTTCAGCTATTATCTAAAAATATTATTTCGCATAACTGACAATGAAGATGGCAATGTCAGTAATACAAATGAAGATGGCAATGTCAGTAATACAAATGAAGATGGCAATGTCAGTAATACAAATGAAGATGGCAATGTCAGTAATACAAATGAAGATGGCAATGTCCGTAATACAAATGAAGATAGCAATGTCAGTATTACAAATGAAGATAGCAATGTCACTAATACAAATGAAGATGGCAATGTCAGTAATACAAATGAAGATGGCAATGTCAGTAATACAAATGAAGATGGCAATGTTAGTAATAGAAATGAAGATGGCAATGTCAGTAATACAAATGAAGATAGCAATGTCAGTAATAGAAATGAAGATGGCAATGTCAGTAATACAAATGAAGATGGCAATGTCAGTAATACAAATGAAGATGGCAATGTCAGTAATAGAAATGAAGATGGCAATGTCAGTAATACAAATGAAGATAGCAATGTCAGTAATACAAATGAAGATGGCAATGTCAGTAATACAAATGAAGATAGCAATGTCAGTAATACAAATGAAGATGGCAATGTCAGTAATACAAATGAAGATGGCGATGTCAGTTTCAAGATATTTCAAAATAAGCATCCAACTTACTGAAATGTGGCTATTCGTCAACTTCTCGTATGAATGTCTCCCTGTGTCGTGCTAACACTCGCAACAGGGGGCGCACAACTAACCACCAATTATTAAGAGGCACTCTGTTCCTGAAAAGAAAAATAGAAAAATGTTAGGGAATTATTGAATGTCATATTGGTTATCTCAGAACAAAAAAGCCACACATGAAACCACGAATTATGGACGCAGTGGAAATAACTATCTTTTCTATGCAGAGGGATGACCGTTGATGCAAACGCTTCTTATTACGAACTAAAAGTCCATCCCGGTAGATTGACATATAAATTCAATGATAAGTAGTCCTTATAAGGTAAGCATAATAAAACCCAAATTTTTGATACGAGCCAAACTGAAGCTGAGAGTCAAGCTGTTACTCTTAGTAAAATACTAAAACCATCTGTTGTTGCAACACCATTGACGGTGCGCAAGTAACCATTTTGTAAGTTTCATAAGATTTTTTCTGACTCTTAGGGGGTGATTGAACGTCAAAATTACCTCTAAACCAGAACACTGAAACAAGTACTCGGTCTAGTTCACTGTGCGATTCCTGCAAAGGTTTAGACCTAGCAATGAATTAATACTCAAGAGGATGTTTCGGTACCGATAACTACCCAAAAGTAGCTGTGCATGACAAGTAATTTAAAACCTACTTCATGTCCGCCTCGGCTTCGAGTTCTACGACAGGCCTAAATAATGTCTGGGCGCGCACGTGACACAGAACACAAGCCGTGTTTGGTGAAGTGGCACTGACAATTCCTGAAAAGGATAAACAGAACAAAATAATGGAAATAATATCATAATATCATGCCTTGCAAACACAATCAAATACAGCAAATGATTCGATAAAAATAAGGGTAGCTTAAATGAGTTACTTGCTGTGGCAACAAATAAGATAATTCGACCGTATTCTCTCATAGTTAAAATTCACTTCAAGTTGTTTGGCAGAGCACCAACACAAAACAGAGAGAGCAACAACTACAACATCTTTGACAGCAACCAATTGTATCTCTGCTGGCTGTGGTTTCTAGGGTGAACAGCGACGTGAATGTCAGTTAAATCTTACCGTTTTCATCTATGTTTTCACCAATATTTTCGATCAGAAACCTAACAGCCTTCATTGCTTGCCTGGTACCATTCAATCGATCAAACGGGGATGGTGGTCCACCCTGAAACAGACAAATTATAAGAACTGAAAAGTGAGATTGGCTGACAACAAAATAAATGAGCTATACTTCTGTTCAGAAAGAATGTATGAGTGCATCATTCTATGGAATTCTCGTACAGCTATGGTTAAATCCTATTGTTTTATAGGAAAATCCGTAGAAATCCTTTTGTTTTGGTTGAAATCTCCTACGCTTTTTCCAAGAGTAAATTGCCCCTCACATTACCCTATATCCAGGGGGTCGGCACAAGAGATCAAAATCCAGATGCTGGCGGATTTCGAGCGTAGGGAAATTATCATATTCCTTAAAGACAAGTTGTTCACAATAAAAAATCGTTTACCTGATCCCTCAGTTTTCTCTTTTTTAATTCTACCCTCTCCTTTGAAATTCGAAGTTTTAAAAGTGAAAAATAACATCATACTGAATTGACTGTACAAAAAAAGCAAGTTGAAATGAAACCTGCTGCAGATGTCCGAGAACACTCTCCCTCGTAATGAAAACTCCCTTAGCCTCTTCTTCGTACAGGCTAGTGATGAATTTTGTTGTGTAACGTTCATTTGCCTCTTGTGCCCTATTGCAATAAAACATCTCGTTAACAATCTGCTTTCATCAACCAATGGTCTATCTATTGTTGATGCCAAACGCGATTCGCGGGTGACGCAGCCCAAATGCCTCTTGAAATATATCAACGTTGTTGTAGCTTACCAAATTGAAAAAGAAAGCTGCTCGATTTAGATTGGTGGGGAGACGTGATAAGGAAAACTAAACAGCAAGACGCTTGAAATAACTGTAAAGATGTGTTAAACCAGTGTCCTTTATAAATTAAGAACACTACTGTTGATCAGATTATAATAACGGTCCTACCTCAGAACCAATCCTCTTTTTATCCCTGTGTTTTGAAATTTGTACATGAGATGGTTGGCATCCGCCTAAGCGAAAGAAAGTATAATTTAGAATGAGAAAAGAGGGGAGCATTGGTTTGTTACTTCACATGTTGGAAATGGCAGTGAAATACCGATTGTGCAATGTAAACAACTCATCAAGCCACAAAAACGGAGACTGCTGCCATTCATCACAATACTGAATAGAAATTAACCATAGTTAATCAAATCCCAGTTTGCAGTTAAAAACAATGCATGACCTCACTTTTTCTTCGCTTTTATCTGGTTCTGCTTGATGTTGCAATAATTTTTTAAGCTACTTGCCTCTTACTCAACGATATCCAGTATATTACTTGAGAAAAAGTTGTATATCTGACAAATACACTGCCGTTGAGATGGGAACAATCAAAATGCTCAACATCTTTAAAAAATTAGCGACTCTGTCTAACACAGGGGGCCGAGTGGAATCCGACAGAGGTGGGAGTGCATATTTGAAATGAGTCACGATAAGTGGTGAGTTCGTCGTTGTTCCCCAGTACAAACTTTTTTCGTTTTATGTCAAGATTGAAGCTTCTAAAATCAAAACTGTTTCAATCGGATTCAATAAGATGCCCAGACCAGGGGCGGCAGGGAGATATTTATATATATATATATAGATATAGAAGCCTTAAGCTAGGCCTTAAAAAGGGAGAGAGAGAAAGGATTAGGAAGAGACAGAGGAAACATGAAAGATCAAGTTTGTTTACTTTTGTTTTGAATAAAGACAGGCTGTAAGAGTCTTGGAAACAGGAAGGAGAGAAAAGAGCATTCCAAAGTTTACAAGATCAAAAGAGGAAGGAAGAGATGTGCGATCGAGTTCGTGCGTTAGGCAAAGAGACTTTGAAAGTGTGAGCACTGGAAGCGTGTTTTATATTTTGTGTATGTCTAAGGGGACCTGGGATCATATCTCTGATCTTCTGAAAGCAATGGCCGTGATAAAATCTATAAAAAATGGCGAGATCAGCGACACAGCGCCTATAGGAAAAAGGCTGAAGAGACTTAGTGAGGTTGCAGTTATTGATGAGACGAATAGCTTTGGATTGGACTTTGTTAAGAAGGCGCAAGGAAGATTTAGGAGCACAACCCTTAATATGCGAGCAGTATTCCAGGGAAGGACGGATTTCAGATTAAAAATGTCAGTTGTCATGCATCCTGACTTAAAATGACTTAAAATGATATGGATGAACGGACCAAATTTTGCAGAATACATTGCTAACTAATCAAAACACCTGGTGGCTCTTGATAAGAGCCACTTAATGGCTATGGCATCACTATAGAGGCCCCTGGAGCTTAGAGTTGACAGCTATATAGCCACCAAAACAGAATCAAGGCTTACAATCAGTTCGTGACCATAAATGACAAGCTGACAGAAAATCCCCTTGCTTTACAATTTAAGGATTTGTGCAGATATCAAGACTGCAGTTTAGTTATTATAGGCTAGATCAAATTTGTTGATTTTGGTTTAGAAAAAAGGCAAGTTGTAAGAATCCGGGAGAAATAAGAGGGTAAAAAACCCAAATTTTTGAAGCTCTGGGAAATAAAATGAGTTTTGAAAAGAGTGAATTTTTAACAGCGAGACTTGGAATGGGTGAACACGGGAGAAGTTTCTTCGGTTCGTCAAAAAATTAAAGGAGGAAAATGGGAAGTCAACTGACGTTATTTCGATGATACAATTAAATTATCTTAATCACTTTCCATAGAAAACGCAACAATAACTGATTTAAAAGCATGATTATGTGTTTATTTGCCATCAATGCATCCGTCATAAGATTATTGTCAATGATTTGTATGCATTGGATGGGAAGAAAGTTTTGGTGAATACACGCCATCAGTTTTGGCTGAATATCATTCTTCTCTGATTTCAAAGAGAACGAAGAACTGTGTGCAAATTCATGTCTATACGACACAGCACACACCACATCTGACAACACCTGACCACATCTACTTAAAGCTCAAAGTTCTTACCAGCAGTTCATAAACACCGAATGGTTCTTCCCTAATGTAAGCAGCATCTGCAGCGGCAGCAATGCCTGCCATTGTTGCTAAGTAACCGCATCTACCGCCCATTGTTTCGACAACAAAAACACGGTCCTGCGAACTGCTTGCTGACTGGCGGATTCGATCACATGACTAAAAAAAGATGGAAATATCATAATAAAACAAGTCCAGATAAAGGAACAGATTCACATGATGTCCTTCTGGAATTCATGTGGCTTTCTTTTGCGAGTTGTGAAGCCCTATTTATTGGTTAAGTGTTTAAAAGTCGTTTAGAGTTTTTCAACAAAGGGCAAGAAAAAATACACAAGCTTCATCTTTATAATTGGCAAAAGGGGTCTATCGATAATTTTACATACTTTTCCACCAAATTAAGCTCACCAACAAGTCAAATGACTAGTGGTATGGAGAGCAATTTCCTTCATTGTATGAACATGTTTAAATGGAATAACACGGAAATGCGAAAGCTGACCTCGACGATGACATTGAGAGTGGTATCCGCACCGAGGCTGAAGTGCGTTCCAGGAACATTGTTGCTCATTGTGGCCGGGATCACAATAATCGGGATTCGAAATGCTTTCTGTCGCTCTCGCCCTTTAGCCAGCTCCAATGCACTGTTGAACGCCTGATTATGCAAAACAAATGAATTGTAAAAGAATGGAAGCAACAAAACCTAACCACGCTCATCATATGAGTTGTCATATAATTGCAGAAAATGCAGATGTTCTCAAACATTTCACAAATAAACAGTTCTGGTAATCTCAGTCAGTGTGCGATTATCATGTAATCATGTAATTAAGTTAGCGATTATCAACTTTTAACACTATTAGCAAGAATTCATTCGAGTGGCATTAACAATATACGCACCTCAAAGCCGCCAACAATAAGGAGGCCTTGAATGCCAAACTCAGAAAGTCTGTCGTTAACAGCAGCTAATCCTGCTTTGCTTGGGAGTGTTCTGCAAAGACAGCCAGGCAGTAAGGCAATTATTGGGCATTTGATGGCTTCAAAAGTGTCTTAAAGATACGAAATCCGATCAAAATATAATAACAAACGTCCTAGTATTACTTTGTAACTTCAACTCTGCAGGTAAATTTACTTGTATACGGTGGCGTTTTTCAGTTAAATATTTTAGTGTTTAAAGCTCGTTGTATGACATATACTGACTGAGGCATTTAGTTGTATAAAAAACTGACTGAGGCATTTATTGCTTTTTCTAAGCCTGTATGTAACATACTTTGTAAATCAAATAGTGAGCAAGCAGGTTGAAAATGGGACACCAACTTGCCTCTGAGATTGGTTTCAATGTAATCACATTTAAGAAGTTTTTATAAAAGAAGCCGAAATGGAAGGATAATAAATGCAAGCACTGAAAAGGAGGCAAACCTTGTAACGCCCAGATTTGATCCGCCGAGATTGCTCCATTTGTCGACATCGTTCCATCCCAACAGCCTTACCTATCAGACGGCAAAACAAAGCTTTATTCATAACCCCTGTATGAGACATGGCATTCTGACTAAGTTATTATGCTTTTTGCATCACTATGGAGCTTCTCAAGCTAAAAGCTTTACAAAAAGCTTGCCAACTTGCTTTTATTTGTTACCAACGAGAACGATTTGACTGAAAAACATTGCTTGAGGCAGGGTGACATTTCCTACGGCAAAGTGAATGAAAAAATATCCTTCTATAACGATAAATTCAGGATTCTTAATCAAGAATCTTGTGGTAATAAACGATAGGCAGAAACGGCGCGAAACGACGAAGAAAAATTCAATGTGAAATAGTTCTAATTTGAAAAACAAAAACAATTAAAAAACGGTTACTAATATTCCACCCCAGCATAAGAAGTTTTAACGATTGCGTACAGCGAACTAGTGACAGATAGTTTCAAAACATGTTATAGTTTTGTACGAGTGAAAGATTTCCATAGCACAACGAAGAGCAGACTGATAATAGAAGTAGAAGGAGAGGGGTGGGGAGTGGTGAGGGAGTGTTGGTGTTGGCGCTGGAAAGAAAGCGCCATGAAGAAAGCGCTATGAGTGGGGTTCCAGTTTTCTACGTGTGTTGTTCCCACTTATCGTTTATTGATCAAATTGCTAATGCAAAATTCACAGAATCCGGTGACCGATCTATATTCAGCGTCTTTATCCAGAGAATCAAAGTAGAATTCATAGTTTCAAACCTGGCCTTTGATTAGTCCATCGAAGCCATCGCTTATAGCTAGCACCGAGTGGCCCTGGTTCAAAGCGCTTCGGACACACGCCTTCGTAGCGGGGTTCATGCCGCCTGCAGGAGCACCAACATTCATCACGGCCAGCGTGTATCCCTTGAAGAAAGCAGTTTGTGTTATAGAAACATAGTATATGGAATCATTGATTGAGTGATGAGCAATAATCAACGGATCAATGAATGCAAACACTGTCAAAAGACGTAGTTAGATTGAATTCTAATCCATTTGGACAAATAGTGCGCAGCGGTTTTCATAAAGCAAAAGTGATGAGGAGCGTCTGGAATCAATGGATGGTAAAGTAAAATCAACAACGAAAAAACAAATGCAACAACAATGAAGAGAACAAAACAAAGTTTAGCAATAGCAATTGTTTATATAAACATTGGGGGCAACGATATCTTTGATCTATTCTTTTCAAAATCGTTCGAAAAAAAACTTTTTGACGTATAACAGCCCACCAGAAAAAAAAGGCTTTCAGCACAGTAGGTGTTTTCCTCTCGCTATTCTTCGGACTATTCTTTCATTAATACATTGCACTTCATATATGCAGATAAGTTACAATTAAAAGAATCAAAATGAATATATATGCAATTTTCATAAATTCTTTTGGGGTGAAAAAATAGTAGCATTCCAAATTATACAAAAAATGAAAACTGAAGTTTGTTGAGACAGGATACAGCTCTTCGCGGCGGTGAGAGACTGTTAATCTCGCGAATGGTACGATTGGTTAACTTGTTGAGGGATCCATTTACTTTTTACGCTGATTTCTGTTCAGTTTTGTACTTATTCCAATGATCATTTGTTACAAAACAAAGACTATTCAGGAAGTGTCACTCGAAAGAATATTTAAAAACGGCCTAAGCAAATATGCTGTCAGCCGCAAAACAGTCAATCACAAATAAAGCGATATAGCATGAAGACATGTTGGTAGACAAAGGAAAACTGTGCGAGAATTGGTGATCACTGGAACGTACCATTTTGCATGTTCCATCCGTGTTACACTGAGTTGGATCAAATAGCTTCAGCACTTTGTAGGCTGCTAAGTTTCTCTTGAAAGAGCTGGATAAAAAAACGAAAAATGGAATTATGGCGGCTCCAGCAGTATAAGTTATTTTTCAGTCTTTTGGAAATACCAGTTGAAGGTAAATTTTAGCATCGGAGGTTAGCTGCCTCCAGAACTTGGGTAAAAGATACAAGAAATGTTTCGCCCATTGTTAGTTATCATCAATGGGACACCAAGATCAGACTCAAAATATATTTCAGTTCGTGCTCCTTTGAATGGGTTAAATAAGTCTATGTTCCAAATGCAACACACGTCTCTGAGTATTTTTTTTAATGTTTCTTTTGCAAGAAAAATAACCATACTCATGGCATTAAAAGTCACGACTGGACTGTACCAAATAAAACCATATCTACCCTAATACGAGGGTCACTCCAAAATTATTGAGATATTCAGTAACCGCTTGAGATATCAGTTTGAACTTTTTTTGGTGGCTTCTACCATCTATTTCACCCATGTTTTGTAATTTTTGTTAATTTCAAGCGCGAGAAAAAAATAGAAAAGGGTTTTGAATTTCAGCACCTTAGAGGTTCTTATTTGTTAAAAATGGAGCTTGAAAGACGTGATTTTCGCGCAATGATTTATTATGATTTTAAAAGGGGGCTGAAACAAGAAGAATGCCTAGCTCAGTTTCTGCAGACATTTGGAGATAATGCACCTTCAAGGGCAACAGTTTTTCGATGGTTTGCCGAATTTAAGAGAGGGAGGGAGAGCCTTAAAGATGAGACCCACCCAGGGAGGCCCCCAACTGCTGTTGTGCCAGAAACAGTTGCCGCTGTGGAGAAGATGCTAAGGCAAGATGGTCGGATGACTTATTCTATGATGCAGGATAACGTAAAGATTGGATCAGCAGCATTGCACACAATTTTGCATGAAAACTTGCAAGTTCGGAAAGTGGCTGCCTGCTGGGTGCCACATTGCTTGTCAGATGAGCAAAAAGAGCAGCGCGTCAATTGGTGTCAGTTTATGCTGCAAAAATTTAATGAAGGGAAGTCGAAACGGGTTTATGACATTGTGACAGGCGATGAAAGTTGGGTTTACCAATTTGACCCGGAGACAAAGCGCCAATCCTCAATTTGGATCTTTCCAGGTGAAAAACCGCCGCAAAAATTTCGGCGATCCAGAAGCGTCGGCAAAAGGATGGTTGCGTCATTTTTCTCAAAGACGGGTCATGTCGCAACCATTCAAGTTGAAGACCGTCGTACAGTGAACGCGGATTGGTATGTTAACCACTGTATACCACAGGTTCTAGAAGTTTGGCGAAATAAACGTCCAAGGACCGGCTTAAGAGGTCTACTTTGGCACCATGACAACGCTTCCGCTCACACAGCTGCTTTGACCATCGACTTTCTGTCCGAAAATTCAGTTCAGTTGATGACCCTCCCGCCTTATTCACCTGATTTGGCACCTTGTGACTTCTTTCTCTTTCCAGCGGTGAAAGAAAAAATTCGCGGAACCAAGTTTGATAGCGCTGATGATGCAGTTAGTGCCTTCAACGAGGCTGTTTCTGACCTGGCCGCGGAACAATGGGCACATTGTTTTGATATGTGGTTTTATCGTATGAGACTTTGTGTGGAAGCCAGTGGAGAGTATTTTGAGAAACTGTGAAAATTTGAAGACGATGCCTCTTGCGGTTTTTGAATATCTCAATAATTTTGGAGTGACCCTCGTACATATTAAATGCTTACAAAACTCAGAATGGTACCTAACAAGGATACGTACGCTCCACGAAGCTCGACGACTTTCTTGAAATCTTTTTCCGCGTATGCCTTCTTAATAGCGTTACACTGCAACAAAGGTTTCACATCAAAATTAAAGAACGAGACAACAAAGGCTCAGATATCGGGAAACAAAATATATTTCGGGAAAGGCAAAAAATTGGGCAAAACCGTCTGAGAGGGCAAAAAGCAAAGAGTTTTCTGACAATTCTTTTAATTCTAAGATAAATAAACAAAAAGACCAAAATCCTAAGAGTTTGGAGTGAGAGAAGGGTCGTTTGGTTCCTTATAATAATCAAATCGTGTGCCATGTAAGTCAAATACTAAGGGGTTGGCAGTAAGAGGCCCAGTTTTTCTTACTTCCACACAGGGTGTTTCTGGGCAGAGTTTGAATCCATAAATTGACTTGCGAATTATGTTCTACCCACTTTGCCGACAATGGCCCAAAATCCCCACATCTCCCAACTTGAGTGTAAGAGATGATCTCTTTTCGTACCCACCCACCATCTATGAATTATATGTAAAAAATTTTCTTTGCTGCTCCTACTATTCAGGCAATAATGTGTTCGGCAACACAAACTCAGGATTCACAGGCGCATGAAAGCCTTAAAACTGCTCCCTTCTAAAAATTGCTCTTAAAAAATCGCTCTTCAAGGAAATTTCTATCAAACCAAAAAGCTTTTCATAAAGCTAACCTTTTCGACGTTTTCCATGAGGTTCTTTTTAACAATTTGGTTGCCATCAAGACAAACCACCTGCGGAGGCATATCCTTCACATCTTCCAAAACAGTCAGCGCAGCTTCGGCGCCAAGCCTCATGGCCTAAAATGTATCCAGAGAGCAAACTCATCAAAGGACAAAAGGATCTTTGCCTCCAAATTTGGCAATCCCGTTTACTTTATACTGTTCTTCAACAAATATATGTTTCTCGTGTCTCAAAAGCCCTTTCTTGGGAAAAAACTGTGGAGGGGTTAGCTGTGACAATTGGTAAAACATAGAGAAATGAACGAATTTGAATTATATGAAATAAAGGTAATATTCATTTATGCTATAACAAAGATCCGTGTCAATGTCGATAAATTTTACGAATTTTTATGCTTTGCTAAGCCTGGTTATGCTGTTCACTATTAAGCGATGCATAAAAAATAACGAACATCTAAATGCGCTGATCCGCTGATGCTGGGTTTGTTGAAGGATAAAAGGAAATGCGACTCACGAGAAGACGATCAAACGCCGAAGGAGCACCTCCTCTTTGCACGTGACCCAGGACTGTCACCCTTGTGTCGTAGCCGAGATTTTTACAAATCAACTAAAACAGCGAAGAGATAAATAGCAAAAGCATATCGTGAGTCACTAAAAATATTAGGTCCACTTATTTCATATATTTATATATTAATATCTATATATCATATTTCATATTTAATTCTTTTAAGGAGGGTTGCCCTTCAACAAGTTGATTTTCAAGGGGCCCTCCGATAAAAAAACACGAATTACAATATAATCTAAAAAAGGAAACAGCTATTAATCAAATAAACTTTAAAACCTTATTTACAATACTTAAGAAGGGAATGTCTAAAACAAGCCTCTGACCCACAGGACCGCACGAGCCTGAAAATACTTACGGCATACGTGTATTGACCTGGCCTAAAGGAACTGATAATATGCTATATGATAATAGCTACAGAATACTTGTGTATGTTGCATCCGACTGTTGCACTCGACTATCGCATCAAATTATTGCACCCAACTATTGCACCCAATTATCACATCTGATATGCCGCTCCGCGTTAAAATTGTTCTACTAGTTCCTACACGGCTACCTTAAATCTGGTCCACTTACATCTTTAACTTGATTGGCGGTTACAGGTTCACCGTGGATGTTTTGCGCTCCTTCGGCGAGGATAATGATGCTGAGCAGACGACCATTTTCTCTGCCCTAGATAAAAATTGCTGTTTTAAATAAAAAATAAAAAATGGAGTGCCTTGACGGTAACGGATTACACAGGAATGACGGAGAAGAACATGTTTACATGAAAAAGAACTCTTAGTACGCACAATACCCCTTGCTGTGCCTATACTAAAGTGGTATACTCTGGCTCAGGTAGATCCAAGTTGACATGAAAAAAATCACCTTTCGAAGCTGGGTACACAAATTGTCTTGCCAGTCATCTTCAACAGGCCACTCTGGTATAAATATCTACAATAAAATTAAAATGAATAAAATAAGGGCTCGTATTTTAAAAATCTTGAAACAGTTAAAGATGACCCGAATGAAAACTGAAAGCAAGCTACTTTAGTAACTAGGTGGCATCCCTCATTTCGATCTTGTTAAGTAGCATCCATCACACCTCACTCGTTGTGATCCAGAATAAGGACCAAACAAAATGATTATTTGCATCAACTACAAACATTCAAGCTTTTTGAAAATTCGGTCATGATATATGCCACTGCAAGTTTGCTATCTGTTTTTCGGAATTTTCAGTTCCAAAGAAGTCTGTTACAATGTTTTTGTTGGAGAAGAAACTAAACCATTTTCATGACCTTGAAATTATTTTTTAAGTTTAATAAATGAAGCTGAATTTTTAATTACGTTCAATAAAACCACCAAAAAAGCCGATTAGCTTTATTCAAACTACAGTAAGCAGATCTATCATACAAAGCAGCTTTAATAAAAGTTTGGGATCGCTTTTCTCAAGCATTTGGTTCTGTCATTAATTTCTGTCGAAGTTAAACATGAGGAAGGTATGTTGTATTTGGTGCAATAATCCCTTAATCGCTGGCAAAAAGGTGAAATAAATTTTTTTTGAGGAATCCAAGATATTGAAACTTCACGCACCCAATCGGCACCAACGCTTATGCCTGCAACTAAAGCCAAGTAACTAAAACGAAAAAGAAAGGATCATCGATAAACTGCTATCTTGACGGAAATACCTGCTAGTGATATCAGAAATACTATGTACCATAAATACCCTTAGAATTTCACCATGGCCTTAGAATTTCACCATGGCCTTAGAATTTCACCATAGCCTTGATAAACAGCAACCGTGAAACAATTTATTGCCTTTCACACATTGTGATTCTTTAAAAGTCAGACCCTCGGGGGGGGGGAGGGGGGTAACTTAATAGGTTTGACGTACGGGGACGTGCCATTATTTAGGGGTACCTTTTTTCCAAAAAATGCGGAATAATGGGTATCAGCTTTTCAATTATGAGCGGAATTATGGGTACCATTTGAAGAAATATTCAGAGTTATCGGTACCATTTTGGAAAAAAAGTTAGCTAGGAATTTAGCAACATCATTAGGCATGCAAAAATCATATTTTGACAACCATGGGTATAATGGAACTGAAGCTCTTAAAGAGACCGTTTCCGGAAACGCAAATAAAAATGGTGTACAAACAACCAGGATTACACAACATAAAAGGGCTGAAAGTGCCAATAGCTATTTTAAAGGAACATTTCTTGAAATTGTAGAGCCAAGCACCAACTTTGATGGGACTTGAGATCCCAAAGGACAAGGACCACAGTAAACCATTTGCATTAAGGGAATCCAATCATGTAGAAGGTTACAAGATCAACTTTGATTTGATGCCTGTCAGGCATTAGCCAATAAGATAACAGAAACCTTGTTGTTGCATGTCAGCACAGTTTTTTGCACTTTCTTGGATTACATAATGAATTGGATTGCTATATTGTGAAGACCTGACTTACACCAATGGGTTCCCTTAATGCTCTTGGAATCGAGAGATTGGTGTGTAATGTTAAAATTTTAGAACAAAGGACATACAAAAGTTGTTTGAAGTTTTTGTTGTGTCTTGGAAAATGTTCTGTGACTTGCGGAATTATGGGTCACATTTTTCCAGACATGTGCGGAATTATGGGTCTAAATTTTGAACCAAAATGGCGCGTCCCCGTCCAAAACTATGCTTAGTTACTCCCCCCCCCCCCCCGTCAGACCTTCATGTTGTCATTGAAGAGTTCCAGGAGATCAAAAAAATCTTTACTTCTTTCGATGACCACTGCTTTCAAAAAGAGTTGTATGACGTAACTAGTCTAACTGAAACCCACTTAAGGAAAGTGAAGATCATACTTTGTTGCATTAGCTTGAATCCAAGAATCAGCAAAGACGGCTTGTAGCCAGAGATTCAAACAAAAACTGACTGGCAAAGCGACAAATGAATTCACTCACCCACAATGCCTTCCCATCACTTCTAACACAAAAGCTCTTTGATGGCTGAAACAAACAATTAGGCAAATAAACAATGGCAAGAAATATCGAAATTGTCATATCCCGAATGCAGATGGGGCCTAAGACCAGGTTTCACAAAAATTCTAAATTTGAACAAACGCGGAGGTTTTTCGAAAGAGAGCAAAATTATAATAATATTTTGTTTGAATTTCCATAAGGAATAAAAGATTGTTAACGCAAAGAATCAAGTACGGCATCTTCTAATTCACTTTGCATAAGAAGTAAATAGTATTGTTGAGGACAAAGCTCTTTTCGACGAAAAAGATAAAATTTTTTAATATAAAGGCCAGAGATACGAAATTCTTGACATTTAAAAGCTAGCCAAAAAAACAAACAGCCACTGTCTTGATCTGGCTGCAAATTATTTAGATCTTGATACAAAAGAATCTCAATGAAAAGAGACCGGAAACAATTTATAAAGAAGAAGTGAAACTCTTAGCGATCGGTTTTACATAAATGCAGCTGTTATACATCAGAATTCCAAAGCACTTGAAAAACACTGAAATGTCAAAAGAAGATTGCTGTTTACCGGTCAGTTGTGCATGCTCAATGCTGTGTGGAAAGAGCTGCACATGATTTGGTACTAATAATAGTAGTTATGAGGCAAAAAGTTCTGAAGGGAAATCTCTGATAATGAAGATACCTTTCTGCAGTTGTAGATATTGCATCAACTGATTCAACAATCCTTCAAAATGAAAATATAAATAATTAGGTGGAGGCACGTGGAGGGCAAAAATATTATGAAGACGTTGCGCTGGCAATAACCCTTCATGGTCGTGACGTCATTCTAGGATTCTTTTGTCGTTGCATTACAGAAAACATTTCGACTGTCAGTAGGCCGTCAAAAAACAGGCGTTAAAATGAACACTAAAGAATTGGCTGCATTTAAGATATTGGAAGATGAGCTGTATCAAATGGAATCGATTGCTTGCTACGGAATCGAGCAGGGATAGGCGGACAGTATGCATTTTAAGACGTGTGTCTCTATAAGCACCGCGAAATGCGTCCTTGGCTTCAGGAAAAGTTGTATCTTGATTGTCATGGAAATGTCTGTTAAATGACAATCCATCAGTAGTCATACTTGCTCGCCAATCGTGCAAAAATTATGCAGTTTCACAGCCAATAGGATCCCCTGTATACGATTAAATTTCTCAATCAAGCATAGCTAGAATTTATACATTTTGGCTGGCTTCATTAGTTTTGAATTCTGATACAGCTTAACTCCAATTTTTCAATTTGCAATGACCGAAACTTCAATTTTGAAATAAGCCAGCATATGTAAACACGCGCATCGGACAAAACAGTCCTTTTGCAGGATATTACAAAAATTGAATAACTGAAGGGGGTGAGGTGAGAGACAGGTAAGATGGTAATCAAGTACTCACTACTAGCATAAAAGCTGGGAGAATAAAATGACATTAAGTTCTGTTTCGGAAACGTCGTCAAGTCCTTTTGTAAACAGATGAAAACCACGATCAAGTGATACAAAAAGAAAAGCAAACAAGATTATTTTGCCGTTAAGAAACTGAAAGGAAAATTAATAAGAAACTAATTTATATGAGTTTGGAAACGTGGGTGTATAAAGAATGACGAAGAAATTAAAAAAACAGCGACGAAATGCCAGTAAGGTGATTTAAAAAGCTAATAAGACGAGTAAACAGAATGAGTAAACATAGATCCACAACAAAGCGGCTCTTAGATGTTTGCAAAATTGGGAAGGTTTTCAACTCCTTTAGATGCCAAATCTGCCCAAATTTGCTTTAATGCATAAGACACAGGTCAGTTAAGTTGCATGCAATCGGAGGCTTGTCACTAAAATTGAACAAATGCTCGCAAGAGAGCAGTTTCGTAATATGAAACATGCTGCCAAAGGGCAGAAAAGAGGAGGATAAACATGGTACGCTTTAAAGAGTTTTACCGATGCAGTGCTGAGTCAGCACCAATTGTCATGTCTGTGCCACAAAAGTCGTTATCAATACTGCCAACCTAAAAAGAAGATTTTTCAATGAGCAATTGTAATTGTTTTGGAAAGCGCATATATTTGCTTCATTATATCAAATCACTTAAAACAATTTTTTATCCTTCTATATTGTTTAGGAAAAACTCTAGGGACTGGACTTTACATAATTTTTGGCCTAGCTACCAGCTTCAGGACGAATCCTAGAACTTCAATAACACAGGTGTCTCTTTGCCTTAAAGCTCTAATGGTGGACGAAAATAGGAGGCACAAGGCAGCTTTAACCTCCTCGAAATTTGCATTAAACTTGTTATTCCTTGACTTGTTGCTAGAGCAAAAGTTTCTAATCCATAAAATGCACGAATGCATGGGAATAGCTGCAACACACCATTCCAACAATATTTAGATGGCCATGCAACACAGCTTCGCCAGCCTTAATTCTGCCTTCTTCGACGAGTTCTTTCAAAAGCTCAGGCCACTCCTGTCGGAACTCATTTGCACCAGTAAGACTTCCATCGCCACCTATAATTACCTGAGAAAGAAAATAAAATAAAATATGAAACGAAAGTGAAATATGCTTTAACAAACTCTTGTAAAGTTGACGACTATAAATGCCTAAGATATGAACAAACGAGCGCATGCTTGGTGTTCTGAAGTGTGACGTCATAAATTTTCACCACATAACCTACAGCACTATGAGATATTTCAAAATAGAAAAAAATCAGTTAGATATGTAAAAATCTGATAAGATATGACCAATGAAATATTTGAAGTTTGTTAACGGATTCCTATTATTAAATGGTTCTGTTCGTAAAGCAATGAACAGATACCTGGATTACAGAGGTTTGATGGAAAAAGAGCCTGTGTTCGTGAGGTCTTATTTCAGACATTTGACTGATTTAGAGGTATTTCGTACAGTTAGAGGTATTTAATGATACTTTTTGGGTTATGGGATCCAAATTCAAAATTTCTAAAAATGAATTTTTCGGTCATCAGTTAAGAACTCTATTGGACTAAACTAAAGATTTTATAATTTACCCTTGACACTACATCACGTTGCCACTCAATTTGGATATACTCTGAAACCTTTGCTTTAAAATCATTCTTGGAAGCGAAACTGGGAGCAATTAGATTACAGATCTTTTTTAGTTCAAGGGGAGGTTAAGTAAAGTAGAGAATATAACTAACATACAATGATTAATATCTAAATTCTTTCTTGGTTCTGCTGATTTATCAATGCAAAATTTAACTATAATTGTCATCACAAGGACCATTATCATAACGACTGCAAAACAATATTTTAGGCACTTCGGACACTATTAGAGACTTTTCAAGCTCTTGGGGCCAATTAGTTCTTCTCTGATGGTTATTACTTACCAAGTTTGTAATACCTCTTGTGACAAGGTTGAAAGCTGCCTGTCTACGACCCTCCCTGGATCTGAAATCTATACAACGAGCACTTCCAATTACAGTTCCGCCCTAGAACATTAAGTACAAGAAAATTAAAACTTCAGAGTTTTAGTTGATGTAGAAATATGATTATCCAACAAAAGCTTGAAAATCTTGAACACATGTTAACCCCTGAGTATATTGTCTGTAAAATACAAACATTATAGGCCAAAAAAACTAAAGTAAAGAAACAAGACTGATATAAAGCGGCTTAAGCAATGGGTTTAAAATCCAACAGTACTCATGCTTTCAACATCTGGTAACTGTTTTGAATAAAGTATATGCTTAAAAAAGGACTGACTTTGCAGATGAGAACAAACACTTAGAATACACATCCGAAAATTGTAGTAAAAATTTGCAGTATGATGGTTGATAAATTTTTTAGTGATGATTCCTGAGGGATCATAACCAATTCGTTGTGGCTTTAGTATCAGGCCTTCTCTAAGTGAAATGAAGGAGACTGCCAAAAAGCTCAACAGAAACTCAAGGTGTTTATATTTCACATCTCAAAATTTCTTAAGAGTATTCATTGGAGGAATGCTAAATTGGAAACCCTATAGGGATACCAAAAAGCGCCAGATTATGAATAAAAGCATCATCCCTCAAGCAAAATTTAGATTTTTTTAAATATCATTTTCTTGTTTTTCTTTTAAGTTTTTGTCACTTGAAAAATTCTTATCACTTTCAGCATCATTACCATTTTCATCTTAATAAAAGCAAATAAACAATGTTTCCCTCCACATAGGTTGTCTTGACATTTTCAAATGAATTTTCAAGTTTGTGCATTTTCATTAACAGTAAATAATAATGCATATAAGAAATTACAATCTTATTTGAAGACAGATTCTTGTAGATGTGGTCATGTAGAAAACCAGATAGAATATCATCAAAACATTAATGGTATTAGTTGTTGCAAATGCAAATCTTAGAAATTGATCGCAGCATTGAAGTCATCGGATAAGGTTATTTTAAGTTTGTTCAATGTTTTTTCAAACATCATTTTGATTCAGGGCTATATAGTTTTGAGTTATCTAGGACATTGTCCACAGCTTTTTCTCATTTTGCACATACAAAGCTTATTGTCAATTTTCTGTGAAATGACCATCAACAAATCATCAAAACAAATCATTTTTGCTTCCATTCAACAATTTATTGCCTTTTGCAATTCTTAGTGTGCATGCAGTTATTACATTGGATTGACAGTCATTTTGTCTGTCTTAAAATTTTAACACTGGCACAAAGTTTAGATAAAGTACTCACTAGATGTGTAATGCCAGTGACACTTTGCCATTCAAGTTCTTTTATGTTATCTCCCCCATCAACAAGGCCTTGGTAACCCTAGAAAAGAATAATTGTCTCTATAAAATCAGTTACTAGGCAACAGACAAAAAGGGCAAGAAAGTGCCAGGAATCAATATCAATAAAGAAGCAAATTCAAAGAATTCCCAGATTTCTATGCCTGTGTGGATATCAGAAATATCTATGGTATTGAACGAGGATTCATCAAAAGTACATACTTATTGTACGAGGTATTGAACGAGGATATTGAACGGGGTATGGTATTGAACGAGGATTCATCAAAAGTACATACCCAGTAAACAGCATATGCCTTTGCACCACTGTAAATTGCAAGCCTTGCCACTGCCCTGATAGCTGCATTCATCCCTTCAAAGTAGAAAAGCTATAATTTTGCCAAAATGTCCTGCCAAAGAGCCCTTCAGTTGATTGGGCTTATCATAGTTAACAGAAATGTGGACTAAGAAAGTGAAAATTGAGAGAAATTGAGACAACTACCAATATGTGATAGTGACAGAAATTGTGGAAATGCATCTGTATTCCATAATAATTAAGTAGTTCTTGCTAAACCCTGTTCAAATAAAATTTTTCTCTAAGTATGTACAAAAGATTAAAATAAGCAAATAATACACCTTGTTGATATCCGCCCACTTAATTTGCTTGAAGAGAGTGGGGCGAGAATTTGGGTGAAAAAGTTGCCACGGGCCTTTGCTTACATATAGATACAGCGTTCGCTAGCGACTAGTCACAGCATGAAATGCATCAAAAGTATTCAAAGTTTTATGGATTTGATTCCTAAACATCTTCTGTGGTCATTAGTCTCAAAAATATCTTTTTTAAAAGCTTCTGTCATGTGTCGTGCTTTCAGAGGCTACACAGGGTTAGGCCGGTTTCAAACATGGTCAATGGAAATTGTGGCATCAAAACTTTGGAGAAAAAAAGATTTTCTTCATTCATGAAGAGTTTACAAAAAATGATTGCCAATGCTTACGTCAATTTCACCTCTTCACCTCTCTGACTTTCAAGTTAAATTCTGATTAGAGACATGAATGGATTAGATGTTTTAACAGGTACAAGATGGATTTGAAAGTTCCATCCTTATGGCTGCCTCAATGCAAAACAAATCAGCAGCAACATTATTGCATATTTGGGACATGCTTGCTATACATGATTGCATACTTGGGACATGCTGAAACAATTTTCGCTGATTTTTTTCTCATTGCATGTCCAAAGCTCATATGGCGCATCAGAGATTCCTTGTGATGGTCTGCATGAAGATTTTAGAAGGCAGTACTTGCTGCTGTTTCCACAACTGGGGCCTTGTTTCCATAAGCAACAAATGCTGTTGCAGCTAACTCGTGTTTACTTCCCATAATTTTGAGTCTCGTCAGGCAGAGGAAATTTTTGAGCTCTTTCGTTTGCAAAAACCTGTTTGAAATTCATTGTGCGCTGTTTTTTTGATTGGCGACTTCCCTACCCTGTTAGAACACCATGATTGACAGAAGCTTTTTAAAGACCTGCTTTTGAGATAAAAGACTACAAAGATTGTTTAGGAATCCAATCCACAAAATTTCGAATACTTTTGATGCCAATTCGGACAACATTTAGTCGCCAGTAAACACCGTATCTATATGTAAACATAGGCCTGTGGCAAATTTTTCACCCAATTTCTCACCTCAGTTTCTTTATGCAAATTAAGCGTGCGGATATCGAAAAGGTGTATAAAAGGAGCTTGGCTGGAAAACCTCAGAGAAATTCTTTCAAAGGGAACCAACTTTTAGACATTCTGCCACACAGACAGATTCAGAGGCTCTTTGAAAATATCACTGAAATATTTCAGTAAACATCTGTTCTGGATAAAGGGTTGATATTGATAAAGGGTTGATCTTTATAAAAAAACAGCAATCTTTGCCTATGAGTAATTAGCTGAAATTGCATGCAGATTATCTAGCCTGACCCCTACACATCAAAAATAAAGTTAAACACAAGAAATAAGAAT